TTTCCAATCTGCCTCACTGTTTACTTACCTGAGCTGTACCTCCTCAGCTTGTCTATGAGGGTGTTTAAGAAGAGGGCATTGAACTTCTTAGCAGAGACAAGATAGAGAACATCTGATATTCTTCTCTCATCCATCAAGCTAGCCAGCTAATGAAACAAGGCCATCAGGCTGGTCAGGCTTGATATGCGTTTGTAATGTCATGCTGACTATCCATAATCACGCCCTTGCTCTACACATATGTTTGGAAATAGTTTCCAGGACTGTCTGTTCCATCACCTACCCAGATGTGGAGCTAAGGCTGACAGACCTATAGTTTCCAAGACCCCTTTCCCTTCTTGAAGATAGTAGCGATGATTTTTCTTCCAGTCTTCAAGAACGTCCCCTGAATGCCACGTTCCAAAGATTACTGACTGGCTTTGCAATGCCATCAGTCAACAACAGCTCATTTAGTATTCATGGGTACACCTCATCTCATGCCAATAGCTTTTACATGTCCAGTTTATTTAAATGTTCCTTGATCAGTTCATTCTCTGCTGAGTCCTTGCTCCAGACTTTCCCTTTGGTCATCAGTGCACTAAAAAAACCTCCTGGATTTCTTGTGCCCTACTGCATTGCTCAACCAGCAGATACCAGGATGGTTTATGTTCTCCATGAAAACCAGAACCTACAACTGGAAAAAGGCTTCATCCAATTCTTCCTGATCAAGAAGCTCATAGCAGACACCCACAATATCATGACATTGGTTGGGTCTCTAACCCTGACCTATAAACTCTCAGCTGATTCATCACCCATCTCTAGGCAGAGTTCCCTGCATATTCTGCTTCTCTTCCTTGCTATCCTGCCCTGTGCTTCCATGGACTGCAGCACTCCAGTAATAAAAACTATCCCACCACTTCTCTGTAATCATGATGAGACCACAGCCCTACAGGGCACAACAAACCTCCAATTCCTCTGGCTTGTTCCCCATGCTTTAGAGCACAGGCCATCTGGAGAGCCACACGCTTGTGCTCATTCCCCAGAAAAGGTAGGAGAGCTTTCCCTAAATGCTCTTCTCTCAATCACACCCTTATTCATGTGCATAAACTCTGGGTGGCTCCTCTCTGCCCTGGTTTGTTGTTTATGAGGTCCTGGCTGTCTCCATCTCTCTGCATCCATTGCCTATCAACCCATGAACCACTTCCTCACTTGATCTCAAATCATCATTTCTCTACTCCTTCACTCCTGTTTCAAAGCTCAGGTGTACTGGAGTTAAGTGTCAGTGTACTGAAAGAACAACAGCTGCACAAAATTTGTATATTCTGTTCTGCAAATCAGGGAAGAAAATGTTTGTCAGATAGAATCTGACAGTAGAAACTTCAGTGACATACAGAGAACAAAATTCCCAAAAACCATATATGAGTTTGTGATACAAGCCATTCAGTGGCATGGCATAACATGTGAAATAGATTAGAACTGGATTAAATCCACTATTACAACTCATTACATTATCCTCTTTCCTTGATAAGCTCATATAAAATATTTTAATTACACTTAAGCTTTCAATTTAAAAAAGCGTGTAAAAACAGTTTAAAATTTGGCACAGACATAATGATATTATATCACACATTGATCAAGATAAAAACCATAATTCTTAATAAGATGTGGTTTTCAAATTTAAAATGAGAGATAACAGTAATATTCCTAATGTGAGGGCAATTTGCTTGAAGTCCAGATACAGTGAGACAAATTCACCTTAAAAAAATTATTTAGTCTTTCATAAATTTAGCAGATTTTATTAAATCGAATTTAAGTGAAACACCTTATGGTAGCTTGTTCCTCCAAAACAGGAGTCTCCACCTCACCTTTACCATGCAGGACAGCTCCCTACTCAACAGCACCAAGTAGTCCAGGTATCTTTGCATAAACAGGATACAAATGAAAAGTGGTGCAATGACAGAATCTGGCATAATTTTTTATTAAGTCAGCAAATGTCCTTCTTTGTCTGATCAAGCCCACATGGTGCTGATTAATTATCATGGGTTCTTACTTATCAATCTTTTGAATTAAACACAGAGACATTTCCTTCTGCTTCATTTAGGATGCAAGAAATGTTTCAGAGCCATACACAGTGACGTCTCCAACACACACAGGCACAAAGGACTGTGTGACTGTAGCGTGAATGCATAAAGACTGCGATCAATAAAAGCAAATCTCCATAAAGAAGGACTGATAACTTGGCCTCACTCATTAAATACACATCAACTCCAAATTAATAAATCTGATTTCGATTCAAATCAGAAGTCCCAGAACTTTTTGTTTACACACCAAAACTTCCTGGTACTTTTTTCTGCACTTCCAACTAGAGAGCACAGCAGCTAACCAGACTTCCCAGAATGGTAACAAGAAAGATGCTTTGAATAATTTCATATACAGAGTAGCTTATCCACACAAAGCCATTTGTTATAACACATACCTCAAAATGCAAAACAAATTAGAGAGCAAGAAGCTATTTTATATACTTGTATTTAGAACTTGCATCAATCACTTCAGCTTACTAATCTGAGCCCCAGACTACTCTTCAAAATAAGGACACTTGTTGAGTGACTTAATTTAGAGAAATTGCTAGAACTGAGCTACCTCCTTTGAGTTTCTATATGCTTACTAGGTTCATCTCTAGAACACATGCGGGGAAGAGAAGTAGGTGCATAGAAAAGGCAGTTCAACAAACTTTGTCCTTAAATGTAACATTATGCTCACACAGTTGGCATGGCCACTGGCCTGACACACTTCCAAATGATGATGATGCTGGATAGGTGTTTTCAGAATGATAAAAACAGCTAGACAAAAAATGCTATTCCTCCTGCTCAACCATCCTATCCTTATCCCATCCTGTTAGATATATGTTAACGTTGGGTTCTTTGGAGGCAAAAATAAAATTTGAATTTCAAATTACTAATCAAGCTTGAACTTAAAACTTCTAATTCATTGACCTTAGAGAAACTTTAGTAATTGAGAGAAAGAATCCTTTTAATCTTAAATGTCAAAAATTAAAGCAACCAATCTAAACAAGTTGTCTAGGGTTTCTTCAACAATTAAAGCTAGAAAAGGATGATTCCCCGGCCTTTGACACCTGTCTGAAGATGAGGTGAACCATCCAAGATAATAGGTGTTTTTTCCCTTTTAATGGTGAGTTAGGTAAGTTAAAAAAATAATTTATTAAAAACCTATTTTTAGGTGAATTCCACTGAAGATACATAGCTTTTAAGGCTGGAGTTACACAGCATGAATCTCAAGATGAAAAAAATTTTTCCTAAAACAATCAACCCTTTCCCCAGTCTTTCAATTTCTTCCTCATATTTCTACTGAAGGAACTGCACTGTATGTAATTGCTACACATTTTGTTCACTATGGAAGTACTACCTGAATTTAGAGAAGATTAAAGCTAGCCATAAAGTGTCTGATTTCTGAGGTATTGATCCTGTGGACATTATCAGAAAGGGAAGACATCTAAATTCCAATTACATCTCACTTTTCTGGTCTAGAGTGAAGCTGAACTGGAACTCCCACTGCAGACACTTGGCTTTGTATATTAGGTAACCCCATCCTGCACCCAAAGTGCTCTGCTACTCCTAAGAATGGAAGAAGTTGAGGATTTGAGCCCAGGTTTCACCCTTGCCAGGCTCACACAAGGTTACTGGTTCTCCCAGTCCTGATATTTACAATCAGATATTCTGAACTCAAGGAAAATTTCTGATAAAATCTGTCACACATATCTGTGGGGAAAAAATCCTATTTTTGTTGAACTTGACAAAGACACTGTGAGAGGGCCTAGTTGAGAAAAATTCTGTCTGTGAAACAAGGTATTTTGGTATGAAAAAAGCCCCTTGTAAGAGTCAAATACTGAAAAGTTAGGACATGATGAAGTGCAGCATGTAAGGACATGAATTGAAATAGCTTTAAATACCTTCACAGTCCCACTGCAGCCTTCTGCTGGATTGTGGCTTACTGCAGTTGTCAGGTTATACCTCCAGCAATATGAAATATGACTTTAAACACCCTTGTGAACATTCCTTGAAAAGAAAATGAGGTGTATCTAGCTCAAACATAGAGGCCAGTTGCTGAGTTTTCCTAACATTCCTTTCTTCTGCATAAACATACCAAACTCCTGCAGCTGATCTTCTCAGACCCTGAGTCTGTCTAGAAGTGTTCTGAGTGGCAAATGATGCCTTCCAGACTTACATTAGGCTTCCAGACTTATATTAGATTTCCTGGTAGGGATAATTTTTATTTTACAGTTTATAATTCTTCTTGCGTTTTAGAACACCAAAAGTCAAATTTTTGGCAGTTCAGGAACTGGCAAATGTAATCAAAGACTACCAAGCTAATCCTAGAGCAGTCGTAGTTGCTGAGAGTTTTGTCATCAAGTTAAATGAAAACAAAAACCAATGTGTGCATCGAAAAAAAGCCCTAGCCCCAAAATAGGTTAGTATCAAGGATGAAAGATGTACTTGATTATTAACAATGGAAATGAATTAAAATACTTTTGAACAAGAAATATCAAAATTACTACATGAATAATAGTTTCAGATCTAGTAATTTATCATATACATGAAAACAGCAAAATAAAGGCAAGTAGGTAGGGAAAAACACTTTGAGGAAGAAAAACCAAGCTTTTATGAAAAAACTGCTTAACTAAAAAAAATCTAGTAATATTTCTGCTGTAATACCTTACTGGCATACTGATTACACTGATTCTTAGCCAACAGTGAGAGGACAGCCTGTGTTCAGTTCAAGTGGGATAAATACATTTATCTATCATCTTCTCATGACAAGTTTGCTTTCTGTTTAGGATGCACAACTGCAAAAAATACTGTTATCTTAGGCCAGTCATGGAAGACAGTTTATATGTGCATAACATTTTTCACAAATTCTTATGTTGTGGTTTCAAGGATTTCTGGTTGTGTTCTGGCACTCAGTGAAAGAGGGAGTGTGATGCAATTGAAGCTGCAAGGAGAACTCACCTGATCCTGCCCCGAGGGCGCTCAGATTGCTCTGACATAAAACTTGTGCTGCTGAGGCGAGAGGCACTGCTGGTTCGGGAAATGGCTGACACATCACTGACATCACTATCTGATGATTTGGCAGAGACGTTATCACAACTTCTGTACTGATCTGTTTGTATGTTATACTAGAGATCAAGAAAAGAAAGGGTGAGGATTCTCATCAAAACAGAACGCGTTCATCGAGACAACACATAACCTAAGTATGGCAATTCTCTTTAACTGCTTTTAGATATAAAAAAATTGTATGAAATTCAAAGATATGCCTACATTAAATAATGCATTTATGTCTAGTGCAGAAATGAAACATGTTATTTATGGACTAAAGAAGATACTTGGAATAAAATAACACATTGGAAATTAAATAGGCTATTGGTTCTTCAGCATAGTAGAACTACAATAAAGAAATATTTATATGAAATATTTATGCAGCAGACAGACATCTCAAGAACATGCATACCATCCATTTGGATATAGACTCTGTTTTAAATTTTTAAAATATTAAAAAGATATGCTATGAAATACCTACAATAGAACTGCATATGAGCCTGAATGAAATGTAATGCTACATGAAGGTATTAGTGACTGATATCAGTTTCTAAGCTCAATAAAAAAAGAAAAAATTACATCTTCTATCTCAAAATTTCTCTTTGTATTGCGATGCTAGAGAACTAGTTAGGTAGAAGGCTAACTCACTAAATACAGTATTTTTTTCCAGGCAATTCCCTGATCTAGTTGCTTTTACATCTGCACATGCCTAAGAACTAGCAGAAGACCCAGCAGGAGGAATACGTGGACAGACATAGAAGTTACTTCACTTTTCAAATCAACTGTGACACCACACATTACCTAATGCTCTTATTGCTCATATCATCAATTAGACAGGTACAAAAGGAAGCTTCAATCCTAGCAATGTCTTACTTTACTTACCTAAATCTTCACTCACAGTGATATGAGGACCAAATAGTTTTCAGGCTGACAAAACTAAAACTCACTGTCACTAGAGGAAGGTACTCTTGGTTGGAAAGCAACTAAACCAGAGGCATACTTCCCAGGGTATATTATGGGAAAACTATTAACACATAGGAGCACTAGGCAGTTTTTGACATGACACTCTAGGGAGTTCATTTTCCAGATCTTTGCTCTGTAAAATTACAAGTGATAAAAGTTTATTTATGAACCATCCACAAATCTGTGGCTGTCTGTGAATATACAAACTCCAACTAGGCACTGGGCTGCTGGCTGAGTCACTCAGCAAATGCCATGACAATTTCAAAAACCTGGCAAACACAAGCTTGAGTTTGTAGAGATGAGCGTATCAGGTCTCCTTTCCTTAAGCCAGGTTTATCTTCTCTTGCTCCAGTGCCTGTCAGCAGCTATGCTTGGGCACACTTGGAAACCTCTTGGGAAAACATTGAACATAAAATGAGGAAGTCAACAGGAGTATGGAAGGGGAAGAAATAAAGCAATTCTAAGCAGCAATTGTAAATATAGAAATCTACAGGACAAATGGAGGTTATGCAAATTTACTGTCTCACTGTGCTTCTCAGGTGTGCATTAGAACACTGCTCAGCAGAAACACTAAGCAATCCCCTGTGAGGGCCTTGCAGTGCCTGAGTAAAAACATCTGCAGGAGACAAGGCTGTAACAAGGGTAACAGAAAGGACTCAAGTACCGTGATGCTCAAAAATAAATTCAACTACAGCAGGAATTTATTGGAAGGTTCTCTTTACAAGTGACTTGTGGCTTTGCTGAATATAAACGCCCAATGGAGTGAGACTGTGCTGATATGTTTATTCAGATCACCTTTTGGTAATGGCTTGTAGAGTCTGTTAATCAATTTTGCTATCCTTCAGACTGCAAGATAAAATGATAACTCCAAAATGGAAACATAAAGCATACTAATTCTTATCAGACCTATTTCATAATAACATATCATGTTTTCCTTCTAAACTCTAAAAAAATATGCAAAGCAAGAATACAAATTTGAAAACTTTTTACTTATGGTTAATTCTCTCCAGCCTAAGTTAAACTGCCCCAGTCCTGAATGAGACTTGATGTTTTATGCAAAATTCCTAAAGAATTCCTACTGAATCCCTTAAGTTACTCTAAATGAGACATGTGAAAATATGAAAACCATCTGGACACATGGAATGATCTGGCTTTTCAATAAGCTAAACAGATTTGCAATCTGCAAAATCATCCCATTAAATAATAGAATTTCTGTTGATTTCAGTGAAATAGGGATTTAACCCACTCCATATATTGAGATCATATCTAAAAATTAATAATTTGAAGCTGAGATTTCATAAATTCTTCGTTTAAAATATAACCAAGCAATCTCTCTCAAATTCACGAGGTTTCTTAGATATAGTAACAAGACTGTTTCAGAAACACCTCCATGCTTTTTTTGTATTTGCTGAAGACAATCTGACTTCTTCCTTCTGCTTATAATGTCCAATTATTTCTCTTCCTCACCAAAAAGTCCATATTCACCTTGTGGCCTTTGGTTTGAGAGTGTACACAGTGAACCTGCAGTGGCAGAAGACTTAGGTGGTCCCTGAGCAACCACAACATGCTGATGGAGAAGGCAGACTCCCCCACCAGAGAACCACCAAGGCCAGATGCAGTAACTTCTGGATACTTTCCTGCTGGAAGCCTTTCTTCTAAATATTGAGGGAGATTTTGGCTGCTGGCCTTGGTTCCAAGCCACACCTGAATCAGGCTGTTAGCACTCAACTTATGATTCAACAGGTGGACTGGGCTTGTCATGAAAAAGACCCCCTGTTTCACCTGTACTGAATTTGTTCCACCTTTCATGGGGTATCCAGGTGGGCTGGGAAAGATGGGGAGAGGGGAAAGAGGGAAAGCATCAAGCGTGGTTGTGCAGCTTACTGGTTAGAATACTGTGAGAGAAGGTAGAAGTCCCAGTTTGTGTATCAGTTGCTTTTTAGAGGTTCAGCCTCATCAATTGCCTGTTCAATATCAATATGAAACCATTTACTGGTGCAGGGTCTTCAGCCCAGGTATCATCCTGTAAGTGGCAGCTATATAGATACCCTCACTCTGTTTTGCTCCCTATAATCCATTCCAGAAAAATGGAATTGTTTTCTAGATATCAGACTGGCTTAAAAGACAGTTTTTCGTATGCTGGTTAAGAGAATTTTATAGTGAGGTAGGACATAAAGAAAAAACTGAATCCGTGTCTTCTACTTGCCTTGTATTGCAATCACACTGCAAAAAACATCCTAAAAGAGATTTTCATGGAATGGCTGAGCTTCTCCTATCCCTTTACACTATGTGTCACAGCTGTGATTCCCAAGAAACTGAAAGACTTTCCCTTCACAGCAATAGAGATTAGCACAAAAAGTAATGATGCTGAAAATTAATGCTAAGTGCTACAGAGTTTGCATTTTCCTACCACTACTTCTGGATTTAGCTTTTTCTTCTTATACCTGCTGCTTCTAATTAATTCACTGACTTCTACAGGAGGCATACAAGTTGTCCTAATGATTTCCTACCTACCTCTGCTACAATCTGATAATCAGTCATCTCAGCTAACAGATGAACAAAATTAAGGCAATTTTGAAGTTAACCTTTTTTCCCTTCAAATACAGGGAGAAATAAATAGTATTATTCCACAAAGCAGTGCTCATTAAAATGAAAATATTTTACTGCACAATACAGCTGAATGTACAATTCAGAAGAAAAATAACATAGGCTAAGATTCTCTTATATGGTACCTGCAATGAAGTAATGTCTGCAGGTTTCCAACTGGGCTCAAAAATAATATGATAAAGTTCTACTGTGGAGCAAAAAACTGCTGCTCTTTGAAACCGCACATAGATTTGCAATAAGTTTCCCTGAGATATTATATTTAAACATTGCATCATTTTGAATCTTCAAAATGAAGTATATTTTCAGTGCAACCACTTCTCTTTCAACTCTATATCTTAAAGCTTATGTAACATTTCTTTTCCAAGGTGCACTATTCATCACATTAGGAGTGTCACTGAAGTTTGCAGCAACTTCAATAGCAATTACTAAAGAGTTGGTCTGGTTTTTTAAACATTAACAACAGCTAGTTTCAAATGCCAAAAATATCTGTGCTTTCCTTGCCTGCATTACAAAACCAGACATCTATAAACAGCTGGAATGCAGTTCTTCCATTCACTTTACCACCTGTGGAGCTGTTGCTTCTTGCTCGCCAGCAAAATGAGAAAAAAGGGGCTATGATGAACTGCACATGTGTTAACATCAATGGGAAAAGCATAGCCACAGACTAAGAGTGTACTTCACAAATTATTTTACAGCTCCTTCATGACTAACAATGTCAGCAATTTTACTGATTATAAGGCACATCTTAGAAGTCATTTAACAGTTCATTATCATTGGATTATCTTTCATATTAGAAAGTATTTCTAATATGAAAGTATTTGTATTCCTAGATTTAACTCCCAAAACCACGAAGAATACAAGAGTTCAGAGTGTACTGTCCTTTGACTGCAAAAAAGCCCCAGGTGACTAACCATGACAAATGTATACCTCATTTCTTGCTCAAAATGAGGAAATGAAATGAGAAAATAAAATGGGTTTAAAATCAGGTCATTAACATGAGGAAAGAGAAATACAGACCAGATGCACAGATTCATCCAGGGACTACAGAAGTCTTGAGATCACAGCTATCTTTTGAGGCATTCTAATGAGGAGTTTTGTCAGAAAACACTGAATCCTGAACAAAGCACCTTGAGTTTTATGATTGCTGGCATTCCCAGCCCAGCAGTTGGCACCTCAGGCTGTTCAGGGCTCACCACTGACTCCCACCAGCTGCTGTCTTAGGAGCAGCAGCTCACACCATGTCCAGGGGCCACTGAGCAACAGTGATTCTAAAAACCCTTCCTACAATTGTATCCAGCTCCTATGAACACGGCTCAGCTTCCAAACAGGGAACAGTAAAAATGAGCAAGTCAAACCATGAGGAAACTGCAGTGAAGCCCACAGGTCAACTGAATGGAACTCATTAGATTTTGTGAAATCCAGCCAGTACTGGAGTGACTGCCATCTTAATACAACATATATTAAAGATTTTTTTCTTCAAGGTGGAGGAAGGGGACCAAAAGAAGATGCCACATCTATGTCCAAAAGTATTTTCTATATACAGCCCTAGATGCCTTACCCAGCATAACTTAACGTAACCAGCCTCCTATCAGGCCAAGTATCCTACCCAGCCCCTGCTTTAGACATTAACTCCTAACACATAAGAGTTAAGACTGAAACTACTGAACAAATGCCATGATTACACTTTTATGCTAAATGCTTTTCAATCACATACAATCTTAAGTCAGTACTGCATCTAAATATAGAGTGACATCCTTTTTCAGGACAAACTACAGTGCTCTAATCAGTAACTCTCTTGAATAAACAAAACTTCAAAAACAGTGTTAAGCCAGAGCAGCTGCAGCATTGTGTTTGTGTTCTATGTGTGGCATCTGGAATAAAAAACTTACTGTATTTTGAATTAAAATTGCATTGCACTGTGATTCACTTCACCTCTGTGCAAATCCAGAATTATGCTACCAAATGTTTTGATTCTCTCAAGCACTGAAACAGCACAAATATGTGCACACTAGCCACTACAGCCTCACTAATATAAAAGAAAGAAGGCATGTTTAAAGCTCTTATTCAAACTTTTTTGACATCCTTAGAGTTCCGGTGGCTTTTTAAATTTCATTTTTTTTTTCTTCTTTTAGCTTATTAGAATTAATTGTTTCACATAAATGAGGGAGTCTTTCCACTGCACTGGGAGGAAATAAGGATGTGAGCTTTCTGAAAGTCTCAAAACAGAATGGAACAGCCATGAAGATGTATACAAATGTTGCAGGGCAGACAGCTGCCTATTCTAAACTCCCTAATGGATGTTCAAAATGGAAACCTGCATAATGCACTTTTGGAAAATTATTGCTTGCTTACTGTAACTAGAAAATTAAGAAACCAAATGGGAAAAATTCCAAAACTGTAATGCACCAGAAATTGACTGGAAATTGCAAAGGACCAGTTACAATATCTCTGTTTAAAAAAGAGTTGTTTCAATATAAGGGAAAACTTATTTAACTTTCAGGAATTATTTTGTATATGCATAATTACCATTCCAAATATGATCCAGTCCCATACTGAAGAAAAATTTTTGAATGGTTTAGAGAATTTTGTATGCAATAAAACAAACATGTTTGCAAATGCTAAAATATTGGAAGAATCAAACCCATGTGAGTTGATTGCTCTGAAATGCAGAATGGACTATTTTCTCTATGTTCAGTACAGTATAATTTCTCTAATAAATATATTTATTTTCTGGAGCAGTGGGAAAAGGAAAACACTGCTATTTAGGAAAGAAAGAAGCATTTTGGTTAAAGAGGGAAAAACTCTACTTGCAATTGCTTTTTCTTTAATAGTCAGCTAATATTTATTTTTCACTATTCCAGAATGCCTATTATACCACTAATATTTTTTATTTCTTTATTTAAAGTTAGTTTTGTTTCTGCAGCTTTTTAAGGCTTTTCACAAACTTTGGCAGCAGAAATTGAGTACAGTCTTCAGTTCTGAGAAGTCTCAGTCATCAGCTTTACCACAACAGCTGATACAACATACTACATTTTCAAATGTCCAAATCTTCATCTGTCTTGGTTATTTTCTTGACTCTTTCACCATTTTCTCAGGATAGAGAAAGACAGTAGCATAAGGTTTGCTTTGGTAGCATTTTTAAAGCGATGACTATCACCATAGTGAAACGAAGCAAAATTCTGAATAGAATAATTCAGCGTTCTTTTGATTCAGTACTCAACATGATTTCTATTTTGATTTCCACATGCATTTAAAACCAAAAGAAGATCCTAAAAACCTCAAGGTTCTAAGAATAAGAGAAATTTGTAAGATTGCAGGTTGATGTTTTCTAACAACTATTTAACCATACATTGGATCTACACTGACCAAACAAGAAAAACATATTGGAGGGCCAAAACGATGCTTATCATAAACATTAGAGAGTTAAGATCGAAAAATATGTTTCCGAATGATAAATACAAAAATTTCCATCAATCTGTAACATATAATCTAACTCAGAAACCTGGCCTTTGACTCTGAACAAAGGTCTCTGCTCATCCTGGCAAAAGTCCTCAGGTTGCATGTTACCTCTCTCTAACGAAAATTTTATCAACCCTATTTTCACTATTTTTTCCTACCTTGTTAAATGGTTGGGAAGTACCACAGAGATGCACTGCATCTCACCCTCTTGCCCTGACTGGATCTCTTTGGATGGTAGCAGCAAATCCAGTAGCAATTGAGCTGCTTTAATGAAACAAATTCCTGCTTCTGATAGAGGATCTCATTGGAAATTTCTACTCCAGCTGCTGAGTTTTTTTAATAGCACTGATAGCCCACAATTTGGCCATTTGGGACCTAAAGCCTTGTTTCTCTTGTTTCTCTTCCTTTTGAGAACTGTTCATTTAAGTTCTTATTAAAGTTGTCCACATATTTAACTGCAACAAGACCTCAAACCAATCTTTCAAATCCATTAGGTATTAAAATTTAGCTGCCAGATTTCCTATTTAACCATTCCTAAGAAAATTTGTGATTTTGCTTTAGATGAGTACCTCACTTACACATTATTGTAACTTGTATCTCCAGGAGCATCCAGCTCCTCACAGCTTGAATTGTAAGCAGCAGTGCAGATGTGCAAGACATTTTCAGCAGTTTGCTTAGAACCCTACACAGTTTAAATTACAAAGTTATGGCCTATCATCTTAGCCTTATCAAGAAAACAAAATCCCTGTATAAAACTTTGTTAACGTAATTTCCATATATTCCACTACCATAGAAACTCTTTACACTTTTAGTAGAAAAGGAAATCAAACTAATCAGTAGGCAGTTCAAGAAAGGAAACAATTGATCTCTGACATTATATGGATACATAAAAATTATACAAATATGAGAACATCTGCATGAGATTGGAACTAGTTCTGCCTAGATCTGCCCACATCAGACAGCAACAAGGGCCAACCTACTCTTTCATGGTCTACTTTTCCAAACTCCAGGGACTGGAAATCTAATGACTTCCTAAGCTAGGTGTGATAAGTCTCTTTTTAACAGCTGTTGAAGGATCTTTCTTTCCTGAACTTTTTCTTTCTGAAAAGCTTTCCTGAACTTTTTAAGCATATCGGTTTTTCTAGATTCATTTTAGTTCATGCCAAAGACTAACTCCATGGGGGAAAAAATGATGCTAAAAAGCTATTAGTTGAAGACATTTCTGTCAGGATTTAAAATACAGTGTTCTTGAAGGTTATAAAATATTTTAAATAAACAAGTTTATGCCTTTAATTTTCAAGCCAAAGTATCATTCCAAGACTACTGACTTTACCTTGGTATATTGCTCACGCTCATGTTCTTGGCTAGAACCAGACCCTGATGTCTGATTATAACGGTGCACTTTCATTTTCATCTGTCTCGTTCGCTCCTCCACTACTAAGCTTGCTGCAAAAACACACAATGAAAATCAATTAAAAATAGAGAAAAAGTTTTGGAAAAAACAAATGGTTTAGCAACAATTTTAGCTCATTTCCATTTCAACAAAACAAAGAAATGTACAAACATGTAGAACAAGCAGGGTGTAAGCACAGAACAGAGGAACACTAATGTCAAGAAATCAACCACTTCCATTGTGAGAGCCTTTACCTGAAAATGGGCAGACATCCCAATTTCTACATATAATCAAGCTGGTGCAACAGATATGAAAAGAGTGAAAAAATTTAGGTGGCAGGCTGAATTATACACCTGTTAAATATTCTGGATGCAGGGGACATAAATCCATGAACATCTAAGGATGTGTTTGTTTAATTGTAGAAAATATTACAGTAGCATTCTAAGAATTAATGCCTGAAACAGGTATTAAAATTTATTTTTTAAGTAATTAACTCCTCCTACTATCTTGAAACATAGCAGTTTAATATAGCTAAGGCTATTTGAGAGGAATAATTTCTCCATTCAACCAGTCATATAAAAAACACAGTTATTTTCTAGTAGTTTGGTTTTTCTTTAACAAGACCTCCTTTAAAATCACTTTACTTGTCCTGTAATGATCACCTTTACTTCAAATAATTATTTGTTCTTGTGTTTTCCACTTCCATATGGCAGTGTTTCTTTAAAAACAGATATCTTGCACCCTCAAGGAGCTATGGTGCTATAAAGAGCATCTTCTTCAACTTGAACAAGTTATGGCAACTCATATTGGCTGTGCCTGCCACAGGCACTCGACCTTGCACTAACAGAGTGCTGTAAATGCCCCTGGGCGAAGGCTTCCTCCAAGTAACTTAACCTTTGTGGTAGTAAATACATTTCAGAGGGATCTGTATATTCTGCTATTCTCAAACTTTGTAGCATTTTAAATTCAAAGCAATACAGGTAACATCAATACCATGAAAACTGTCACTTTTTAGCAGTTCTAGAACTAGACCCAAATATTTATCAGCAACTATTCTAAATCACAGGAGTATTCACTATGTTCATTGTGGTTTAACAGGTTATAACATCTCAGAAAAACTTCTTTTAAATTGGAACTTTTTATGTGTCACAAATTTGGTTTTATTTGAGGCAACCTCCACAAAATCTTCTGCTTTTATGCCAACCATGGATTTATATTACTCTCTACAAAACCACTATTTTTCTAAGTCAAAGAGCTCCTCCCCAAATCAGTGACAGGAGAGAGAAACCTATATTAAAACTGCCTGTGATCAACTTGCAATCACAAAACACAGATAATTTTAAATTACTGGAAAATAAGTACTCTATGTATGTTCAATTAAGAGGTATTAAAGTTCTCATGTGTGGCTTTTATGCTGTTAGTTATACACTGTGGCATTATTTACAGATTTATTTTTTGGTCTGTGATTTGCCAGCACAAAGATATAAGGCCTAAAAAAAAAAAAAAAGCACTACACTCAGGATTAGATATTTTAAACTATAAGCTACTGCACAAATCACATTTGTGCCTGCACAATCCATTTGTAACATGCTCGGGGAAATGTCAGAATGTCTGTGTGCTGGTTGGGTATGAAAATATACAAAAGCATCATTGTGAATTCCTTCTGCACTTATTTAAAAATAAGAAAAATAAGTAAAACAAACTGCATTAAAATTCTGCTACAATTACAAATCTAAGGCACGAAATAAAGTTATGATTATCTTCAGTCTCCCATAATGCAGAGTCCAATCTAGCAAATTCTGCACGTGCAGAATGTCACACTGGGCCCAGCAATTATTCCAGATGACTAATTATGCCAGTAAATGTGTACCTTAATTGCAATGAGTCCAGTTCCACCATCAGATATGCAGGCACAGCTCCAATTACTTCAATGGAAGTTGCATGGAGGTATCTGAAGGCAAAATTGAGCACTTTAGGTGAAATTTTTAAAGATGGCCTCTTATGTTAAGGACAGATATGAAAGGATTAAGATAGATCAATTAGGGACTGAAGTAAAAAAAACTGGTATCTTAATCCTATCATATGCGCATGAAATAGACCGAGGATATGAAATCAGAGGGAAAAATGAGACCCCTTTAAAAATTTAGCCCTACATGTGTATGGTGCACAGATTAGAGTTACTCTAAACATAACCCTTTCTTTGTGTGAATTTTAGGTCCTTTAGCCTGTCAACTGTATGTTATACTAAGTAATATATATGGTTTGTTACCCTGTATTACCTATGATACCTGGGAAACAATATTCTGTTATGTAATTTAATGATACTTCAGAGGTTATTACTTCAGTCAAGACTGAGTAAATATTCAACTTTAATTCTGTAATTCTTGACTTTTATTATGTTTAAATCCTTAAGCTTAATACATTTATGGTCTGTTTTTTCTTTATATATATATATTACTATATCAAAGAATGTGAGAACAATTAATGAGCACTGTGAAGTAAATCTAATTCTCCAATGCAGAAATTTGATTTTGTGCATGAAATATAATGCAATTTAGCACCAATTGGCTGTGAATTTATTTCTAAGCATGCAGCTGCATGAAACTACTCTAGAAAATCCAACTGTGTTCTTTCCAGCTTTATTTACCATGCACATCTGAGCATATGTTGAATGTAGCTCAGTTGTGCGATGGAAAATTTTATCTGCCTGACTAGTGGCTTGGGAAAACCTTTACATGTTAATCATGAGAAGCAGAAAAAGGTCTAACACAGGAGCAAAAGCACATTAGCAAAACTGTAACAACCATAAGTAACAACACCATATGATCACATTGCCTTCCTGGAACAGGGCTGGTTACCACAGGTAACAAAAACTTGACATAAAAAGTACGTAGCCTGTCTCTTAGAAAAATATGGATCTACTTTCTTTAAGGACATCACGATTTACAGAGTGCTTTTCCTGGAGGTCTTGAGAGGCAGAATTACACAGTAATTTACAGATCAAATCACTGTAATCCCAAGACCTTTAAACTCTATAGTGGCTCTAGAATTAAATAATGAAGATTTACCATAAGTGTCTCAAAATAGTGGTAAAACTACCATCAATATCAGTTGTGTCAATGTGTTATTCTCTGGTGTCAGAAGTCACACTTTCAAAGAGCTGTGACTCTCATCTCTTCAAGGGCTGATAATTCAGGTGTGAGATCGATCAGTGTAAAAGTAATTGGGAGAACTCATTGATCAGACTGCTTAAATAAAGGGTGCAACTTTATAGCCAAAGCTTATTACTAATAAACCACGTCAAGGTTAGCAACAATGATGTACATAAACAATCAAGCCATGCAGGAGAGAAAAGACACACATATGAATGGAATCAAAATGTTATATTTCAATTCCATTAATCTATTCATAAACCCATCTGACTCCTGTAATCCCAGGTGTACTGGGTCTGGCTGGGATGGAGGCAGTTTTCTTCACAGCTGCCTGTTCTTCTAGTTGTGACTAAGTGCTGATAAGACATCAGTGATTTAGCAATTGCTGAGCAGTGCCTGTATAGCACCAAGGCCTTCTCTGTTCCTCATGCTGCAGCCCCCTGCCCTGTCCTGGCTTCCCCCTGCCCCAAGCAGGCTGTGACAAGAAAAAGGTGGGACAGGTGACCCCAACTGACCAGAGGGACCATTCCATGCTGTATAGCATCATACTCAGCAATAAAACTGGGGGTAGCCTACAATATGCAATTCTGTAGGACACTACTTGAAAGAATAAACTAAAGAAAATGGCTACAGATCTTATTTCCAGCCTGCCATCTACCCTCAAAGAAAATTAGGACAGACTAACAGTTGTTTTTTCTTAAAGGAGATAGCCACTTAATTTTTCTAAGACTTTACCTGTTTACTAAGGTTTTATGTGCTAGTGACATTCCTTTAAATATATGAATATTATGTTAGGATTTACAGAGTTACATCTGGTGCCACTAACTAATAAAGGTGACAGCCCTCACCTTTATTACTATCCTCAGAAAACTGCTATAGGCATGTTTCAACCCCTAAATGATGTTCAACTCAGGGAGAAGGTAGAACTGGCTAGAATCCTAAATGTTCAGAATATATGCCACATTTTCAATTATGTACAAAATAACAAAACAATAATCAATATTCAATACTAATATATCAGATTTAGTAGGGCAGATAATGTTTTCCTTTTTTCTTTAATAAAATCTTTCTAGAGAGATGAGTCATATGGCATGTTATCCACAGATTATGAATCTAACAATTAAAGTAATATGACTTTATAAGGAATTAAACTTGCATTAGCATCAACAATAGACCTATCCTATGAAAATCACTGAGAGCTACAAAAGCAGCACTAATAGTAGCGGCCAGTACAAAGGAAACTGAAGTAATTTTAAGGTCTAAAGTTCTCCTTTTAAGGTTTAATAGGGGGTTTAAACTCCATGCTAGATCCAAATGACATGACGCCCTAAACACCCATCTATTAGGCTAACAGCATAATGTATGAAACTTATGTGGGATCATTTAAATAGGGATTGTAAAATGAGCAGCAATAATGAACTAGCAAGAAACAGCAAAGATCCTGTAGTTGCCTTTCCAATTCTAGTTTTTTTTTTATTCTTGAGCTCTTAGTCTTTGCATATTCACCTCTTTCATATTGCAACAATCATCAAAGAGACTCTACATTCTGAAATTTTGGAAAACAGTGTATTTTGTCAATAAATAACATCTGATAAGAATCCCCTCATACATTTCAAAAAGGGTAGGTAAATCAGATAAGTAATAAGATATGTTTAAAAGATAAAAGTCAAGTGATTAAGCCCAGGAAAAAAATTCCATCCCTTGCACTCATTAAGTGAAAATACCTTTCTAAAAGGACATTCTTGCTCAAAGGCAAGAATGGGCCTAATGCCAGAATGACTGGTGACATTACATGGTCTGTGATTCAAACTGGTAGCATTAATGTGCTTTTCTACATGGTAGAAAACATATGGATGTCTTAGCACTGGCCATACCATTTTCTATAAGGATGAAGTCTGAAAAAAAGGCAGCCTTTTCTCTTGAGGCACTTCATATTTCTGTTCAAGATGGGCAAGACAGAATGAGGAGGTGCAGGCAAACAGTATGACTTGGAAAAACGCCAAGTCTTACATGCACTATTAAATGTCAGAGTAAGCTACATAACAAAGAAATTGGCATCAAGATTTAAGATAGCTGCAACTCTCTCCAGAATATATCACACATCCATTCTTTATAATGCAAACTTTCAGAGAAAAGGTCTAGAAGTCTAAAATGACACAAAGATTTCTTACATAACAAAGTACTGAAAAGTAAGTTGAAGTTAAAATTTATCTCATAAACTTATAATCAATGTTTCTGGGGCAAACTCAACAGGTTCAGGCAGGGGAACAGAGGACTGCACGTATTCCAGAAGACAGGAGAGGTCCAACCTATTCTTCAATTTCAATCTTCACATTAGGCAGAAAGGTTGAACAGTGACAAACAGCTACAGCTGTAGTGCCATCAAGAAGCATGTACACAGCCTTTCTACATAGCAAAAGCTAGGAAATTAATCTGTCTGAGCAACTTAGATGTTCTGTGGATGGGAATCAGGGGGAAAAAAATATCTGGTTTGAGGAATTATATATGAAATAATAAAAAAAAAATCTGGTTTGAGAAGTGGCAGCCGAGGAATAAACTAGGCAGAACTCATGTCCATAACAAAGACAAGGAAATAAAGCAGCAACAAGATTTGGATGGGAGAATCCTGAGATGGCTGTGTGGGACAGAAAAGCCACACTGGTGTTTGACCAGGATGATCTATTTCAGAAATAATACAGAGAGTCTCTATTTCATTTCTGTTGATCCTGCAGGATGAGTTTTGCAGTATGCACACACAAAATATCCTTGCAATAGGTTTCATGGCTTTAAAAATTCTCAGCAAACTCTACCAGGAAATTTAAAAAGCACACAAAATCATGAGCAGATAAATGTTCTGAAATATAAGGTAAGTAAACCAAAAAAAAATCAATTTGTTGCCAAGATGAAGAACTTGCTAAGACTTCTTTGAATAAACAACCTCCAAAAATAATGGCAACATGCAGATAGTGAGGGAGATGGCTCTGAACCCTGCTCTGCCTGACCAGAACCTGCTGTAGCTACTTCAAGCTTGTGTGCATGGATTTCCTTTCCATGGGAGCTGATCGTTCTCTGGACCTCCTCCCAGTCATAATTAAGGCACAACCAAGGCACATATTCAAATTTCCAAGCTGGAAGATGCGCTTGGATCTCTCAGTACACATAGAGGCATGGTGGCCATCTTGATATTAACAACTCACTCCAGAAGGAAGATATAGAAACCTGAACTGGATGATGCAACATTCAGTTCCTTCTCAAAGAGCTTCAGGGATGATCAACAGAGAAGCTTCTATGTAAAAGGAAACAACAAGGAAACAAACACAGACCTCTTAAAATTAGGGAAGAAAAAACCCTCAAAAACCTACAAAACAAACCACTGATTTTGGCCGCAAAAAAACCTTCAGCATTTTCATAATCTGCTGAAGACTTTATTGCAACCTTTTCCACTGATGGAATAGATGCTTGTTGCAGACTCATATGGTCAGTGTTGTTCACTTCTGTAGTATATACTCTCCCTCACATTTATGTCTCCTTTCATAAAACATCCTGTAACTCCCTCATCCTAATCTCTAACCTACTATCTAATCTTATTACCTCTTGTAAGAAGTTACAGTGAGCTACTAGTGTAAATCACCTCAAATTAAGATATTTATGGTCCCCCAGATCTGCTGGGACTTCACTCTTCTGGCTGCTCTTCTTTTGCCCAGCTCTTTTTAGCCCCTGGGTTTCATCTGCCATCAGCTCCCTTGAGCCAGAGGAATCTGTGCATGTAAATATCCCACCACCTTCTACACATGCCCAGATATTGAGCCAGATCCATCCAAATCTTGTGGAAACAAGCTCTTTTACAAACCTGTTAGAGACAGTCTAGTTTGTCTGCACAAAGTCCATTGCTTTAAACAAAAAAATATCCACTGCAGCCCAAATCTTGACAGAGGCATAACCAACAAACAGGTAAGATTGATTTGTACTGTCCTGTTTGAGAGAAATATAAATACTGAGACAGAAATAATTTGTAAAATCAACCACTGTTAGCACTTCCTTAAGACATTTCATAGTATATTCTAAACACTGCAAAAATAACATATAATTGCTAACACCTAAGTTACATATCTCTTTTTCATCTCTTTTTAACATTATCATGAAAACATACTTCTGTATGTTTGACATGGATGTTGGAGTTCATACCTAGTGGAGAAGTTGCTTTATTTTTACCTAAGCATTCATCCCTTCAGAAAATAAAGTAGTTGCAGGAAATACCTTGATTCAAGTTCAACTCACAGTTTGGCTGTGACCCACCCAAGCCTGTATTCAGACCAGAATTTCCCAAGATGAGCAGGACTCAGCAATAAAGTTTAGAAAAGGTTAATCAGTGCTAATAATATTGATGTAGCACAGTATTTTAATTGTAACATTAAAAGGGTGGGATGTGTTTTTAAAATTTTTTTTCTCTACAAGCTTCATTTGCATTTTGAAGTAATTTCTACTTTCAGCTAAAAGGGAAAAAAAATAGGACTTTTCTGCAATGTGTCTTTGACAGAGACATAACAGACTACAGTTTCCACTTTTTGGGACAGCTTTAGATAGCTGCTGTTTGAGCTCACTGATTCTCTGGTATCAGCACAGGCATAAATTCACACAGGTGAGCATTGTATGTCTGCCCCTAAAACCTCCCCCACAATGGGAGTAACTTTCTGACATGAGACTGACATGCAAATAGAACACAGCTCATTCTTCAGAATGTCTCTGCATACAATAAATGGTTTCTGACCATCATGACCTTTAACTATTCCTAACCCCGCACCTAGGAAACATCGTTCACTGCAGCCAAGGACCATGGCTGCATCACTAGAAGCATGTGCTGTGCAGAGCTCAAGAACAGTTTGGGAAAAATCTCAAGTCTTTGTGTGAGCGTTAAATCAATCAAGCACCTTCTGAACCGTATTCTGTAAAATATCATGATTACTTCTGTTAAATCCAGTATATTGCATTTCAATAGGAACATGAGAAATCATGAGAGAAACCATTGTCAGATTCTAAAGAGGGGCATCAGATAGCATAGAGATATTTGAGAAACAACGTTTTTGTATGTTAACACTGTTAATTAAAACCTATGCACTGACATGGAGTATAATGAAGCAAAAGCCAGTATCAACAGTTGCCAAACATTTGTAAAAAAATTACATAAATATTTACCTTTTGTGGGAGAGTTAAAATTCTCTTGCTCTTCAATGAATTAAATGCACGGAATGATGGAAACAGAAAAAGAAATCAGCAAATTTAAAGTTAGATAAAGAAATGTGTTACATGTGACAATGGCATGTACAGTAGTCAGTACTCCAGCAGATGTAAAAGTAATGTAGAAAATTAAAGTGATAAACATGAAAAATAATAAAGTCTATGACTTTTTCTTTAACAGGAACAATGATGTTACAGAGAACCAGATTGTGGAATCTTTAAGTATTCTACTAGAGAAGTATCATCATATCCAAATTTATGAAAGCCATAAAACCTTGTTTTAAATATCACTCTTACTTCTGAACCACACAGCACTATTTGAAGCCTCTTCTGCAATAATGAGTGTTACAAATTTATTTCAGTATTAACTGAAATCTATAATACTCAATAACCACCAGACTATTAAAAATCCATTTTTAAGGAAAACATAAAAGACTATGAGGCTTAAACTCATTTATGAAAGTTAACAGTGCTGAGAAAAATACTCTCCATTATGACCAAAGATTCCACAAGCTGCCTCAGAATATGCAGTGCCACCTAATAATTTAAAAATAAAACCAGAAATATGGAGACAAAACAAACAACACTGATAGGCTGATATCTAAAACTGAAAGGACTTATTTTTTTTCTTCTGCCACTCAATTATTATACTGATAGATTTAAAAAAAAATTTTGACTGAAAAGGTTTAATCTTTTACCATTACAAAAACCATACTCTCACTGCAACAACATTTCAATGATCAAGTACACAAATGCAGAACTGTTTTCACTAGCACATCTTTTTCTTTTGGGATCTCAAATTGGTTAAATATAAAAAGATACTTGCAACTCAATGTATTATTTGACAACATACTGATTTTCTGTACAAAATTCAGATTATTTTTGTTAAAAGAAAAAATACTGGACATCAAAACACTTTGTTCCTCTGTGGCGTCACCATTGTACAAGTATCACACACATGAACTTTATACATGTAATCTCCATTCATTCCAGCAGAATCTTCATGTAGTTTTCCCTGATGTAACACCAGCACACACACACACACATATGCACTTCACCTTCCATACAAGTGCTGCACACAGCTTTTTCCAACATGATCTAAGGTACAGCAACACCTAATGCTGGATGCACATTTGCTTTGCTCGGTGTCACCATGTGAGCCCTACTGCTACAGCCAGATGCCACTGGAAACACACACGACCCCACAGCTCCACTCAGGTTTAGAGTTGCTCTTTAAGTGGAAACAGACTGCTGTTATCACAAACCTTACTCTCATTATGTGACTTCCGAAGTAGGAAATTACATTGTCAAAGCTACGAAGAGAAACCCAAAGAAGACCCAAACAGAAGGCAGATAGAGGGAGTAAGACCTGTTTTGCACAAATTACCCCTGAAAGATTGTTGCTATACCACAACCATTGCACATTTATATTGCTGGTTCATCAATTTCAACAGTGTTGTTCTCCTTCATTATTTACTTGCTAGAGTGATAATATAATCCCTACTATCTGCTGGTATATTCACTTCCTTGATCAATACAATGATCAACCATTATGAAAAAGTGCAGAAACCCACCCTCAAATCATATTCAAGAAAGAATTCCTGTGATGTTTGATAGCTGCGGGGACAGAGGATGGACTGAGTAAAGACCACAGATGTACCCTTTATACAAAAGTATAATTTTAAAATCATGAAACTACACCACAAAGTTGTTATAGAAACAGTAAAAGGCAAAGTCAACGCAGAATCCTCATTCCTCTTAACTATTGCACAGTTCCACTAAAACATGATGCAAATAAAAATACAGTGATGCAAGTCTCTTACAGCCTAGTACAGAATGACATATTGAGAATACACCATTGTCCTTACCATGGCTTAGAATTTCACTGCTTTAGTCACTGAGACAAAACATCTTCATAGGATTAGGTCCTTTTATAAAATCATCCATTAATATAAGAAAAATCAAAACCACTTCTTTAGTAGCATAAGTTAGGGAAATTGCTATTAGATTGTGATGTCTTGAAAACACACAGACACACCTATACAGGACTAATTTTCAATATTCAAACATCTCAAGACCTTTCAATACAACAGCATCCCAATCTTGTGTTCCAATAAATACTCCTGAGAGGGTTGCAAAGGAAATAAATACAACTATGTCGTCCTTGAATATGACTGTAATAAAAATAAAAATCTTGTTGCCTAAAAATTACAGAAGCCTACAGTCTTAACTGCATCCACTTTTTTAAACCTGCATGCCCTCAAGTTGCTATTATTTAGTTAGCATTTTCTCAAATATAATATAACTATGCCTCACCTCCACTCTAAAGCTACACAAAGCTGCTGTCCCCTTCAGAATATAATCACCAAGAAGACTGTCATTTTTTCACTTTTTTTTCCAGTGTGAATTATAACACTGTTTAAAGGTTTTAATCTGTAAACTTGATCTTTTCCTCTACATTTAAGTTTGTTTCTCCATTCCTGATCAGTAGTGTCCTGATCAACTCTGTTTCTATAATGGAATAAGGATAACTACTTTGGTCTTCTCTGTAACAATTACTTCTGTGAGCTTGGTTGTTCTTTAAGAAAGTATGTGCATTATTCAGGATCTTGGAAAACTACCTTGGTTTCTTGTAAGTTGAATTTTTATGATTCTCAGGCTGCCAACCAGAGTAGTAACTAAGACAATATCATTCGGTAAAGACAAAGAAACAAGCTTTTGTTTAGTTCTAAACCTGACAGAGAAATGGAATGTCTGAAATATGTCAGCCAAGCCTTATTAGCATGCATATGATCACTTACAATTGACAGCTAAAGATTAGAGATTAGTACTTAAAATATAACTCTATTTCTCCACATGAAAACTGCTACCAGTCTGTCGCTCATTCATTAAATCTCATTTGTTCCATAATGAGGACTTTAAAGAGTAATAAAATTACTTCACTGGATTCTTCTATGTCTTCTGAATGTTCAAGACAGCAAATAAGAAGCCCATTCTTGATATACAAATATGTAATTTTTTTGCAGCCATCACTATGCCTTGCGTAACAGACCTAAATGCATATATGTATATATTTAGATTCATAGATGTATATATTTAGACGAATATTTGACCCTCATAAAACAATAGGATTCTTATGGAAACAAAGAAGTACTTTACTATAAAAATGATACTTTATGGCATATCACACAGGTTTTCCTTGAAATGCATGATGTCAAGATGATCATCAAAATATAGGAAGAAAATGCATTTTGAAATATTTCCAAGAATATTGTACTAGGTTTTGACATCATCTGTATCTACGGTGACTGTGAGTTTAAACCAATAAGGACACATGCCAGTTCCAAGCACAGTTAATACAAATCTTTTGCAGACCTCAGTATGTTCTGGGTTCAATACTACATTAAGGTCAGATCACTTCTGGTCACTACATTTGACTCTGGTACTCATTTGTCAGGGATTATAGAGGTGGAAACTAATATTAAAATCTGGTACTGAAAATCAGAGCATGTACTGTGGTCTTATGGCCTTAGTGAATTTAATTTCTAACAGTAGTATTAAGTTAGATATACTAGTATATGTACTTCAACAGATACTGACACCATTTTTTAAACACATATTATAAAATCTATTCAACTTAGTACTCCTCTGCAAACACATTCTGAGCCGGAACAGAGCATTAAACATGGGTAAAATAAGAAAATCTCCCATTCAGAAGCAAAGTCAGTCACGCAGACAAAACCCAGGTACTGTGTCTTTAAGCACTGGCTCCAAGTGCTGTGAAACAGCCCCAGCAACAGGTGGCATGATGTGTAACAACACCAAACCACGGCGCATCACCTGCACATTTCACATGAAAGGCGCGAGCACAGTAAGCACAAGTGTAAACAGGCGTTCATTGAAACTGCATCACTTTACAAGTGTTCACAGTATCAACAACTTTATAAACCCAGAGTAGTTTTGGCCTTCTGCTCAACTTTCATTTTTTCTTTCCTCTTCTGTACACATCCCATTTCTACTCATTTTCATGGAAAGGTCTACATTCATTCCAATGTCTTCAACAAAACACACACTGGTGTTTTACTCTCACACACCAGTTACCAAGACCAGTAGAAAGATGATATACGAATATGCAAAGGAAAGCCAAATCAAAATTAAATTAAAAGCTAATTCATTCATTATATATTGTACCAAATTCTGAAATTGAAGTAGAAATATTGAAGAAAGTTGAAATTCATTACTTATTACATTTCTCTATAAAGCTCCCAACTTGCTAATATGCAGAAATAGAAACTCTGTATGTAGTTTATAATTCAGACAGTACTAGAGCCACTACAAAATGAGAAGACCTGAATAGGAAGTTTAAAGTTAATAAAAGTCACTTATATCAGTATATTAATCATTCAAAATAAACACATTTATAAAGTAAGAGTACGTTTTATATGTGCTGATTCAGGGGGTTGTATGCTATCACATCTCAAAGCCTTAACATTAATACAAACTAACTGCAGATTAATTATACAAGCCATCATACAAGAAAACCTCATTGGTAATCTGCCATGATAAGGTGGTCATGGTCAGCAACTTTATCTGTTCCAGAGTATGATCTGCTGACAGTTCTGCAATGCATTACAATAATTCATCATTATAAGCATTTCTTTAATTTCCACAAAGAAGAAAACCTTTTAGTATGTGGCAATCTCAGATGTTGCTTGTAGTCAATGAGACAACAGGTTTTTTTAAACACAGAAGAAAACATGAATGTACACATTTTTTCCATTGTGCCACTTCATTTTACCATAACAGCTCATTCTCTGCGTGTAGTATGTTGCTAGAAAAGGAAACAACAATGTACATCCTTATTTGATCTTAGTAGCTAAGAAACTTCTTCCACAATCATCAGGTCTACATTGTCCTTTTCAGAAAAAAGTAGCACTCTTTGCGTGATCAGTTTATTCTTAAGCAAGAAAAGACTGGTGACCTGTGCTTTCACATTTCCCATGGTAATTGTTTTCATTCTTTATTCACTGAACTATGAACTCCAGAAGAAAAATAGATCTGTGACATTTATTATTAATCTATGTTAATAATGCACAACAATAAATATAAATCACAAAATAAGAAATTAGTAAGACTGTCAAAAAACCTTGCCCCAGTTTTTTGTTGGTTTTTTTTTTTTTTTTTTTTTCGGTTTTGCTTTTTTTTCTTGCTGATAACATAGTAGACATGTTGGGAACTACCATGACTCAAACAGAAAATTTAAACATGAAAGGGTACTAGAAAAGTAAGGCAATTAAACCACACGCAATAACCCACCAGTCAAACTTCACTGGATTTCCCAAACTGCAAAGATGCTTTCATTTTCTTCTATTGCTTTACTGGTAGAAGTATAGCATTGGACATATAGTTATGCAAGAAGACTTAAAGTAAAGAAAGGTAAGAAATCAAAGAGTTTGAGCTATCACAAGCTCATTATTTGATACCTTGCTCTATACTGCCACTTCTTACTGGAACTTGTGGTAGCTGTCTTCCCCTACGACTGCTGAAGGAGGCGTCTGCAGGAGGAGACTGCGTGGGACTTCCTTGCTGATGTGTTCTGCAAATGAAATTGAAATGAAAGCAAAATAAGGCAAATGAAGACACATTTTATATTCTGATTTTTAAACACAAATTAAGTTGCAGGTACTGAAGATGGGTTTGAAAAAGTTTGCATCTGGTCTATGCCATATGCACATACTCAGGCCTAGATACCTAGTCAAATGTAAGTCAAGGCCTTACATTTAATTTCTCTAACTACTTTCAACTATAGAAAAATTGTTTCCTTTCAGTTTTTTGTTTGTTTAATTTATTTATTTATTTGTGGGTTTGCTCTGGTTTATGTTTTTTGTCATTTTGGGTTTTTTTTTTTGATAAAGTAATATTGAAAAACCAGTGAATGGAAGGCAGTTTTCTAAGAACCACTTATGATTATTACTCCCAATTTCTGTACATTCTCCTGCACTGGTACAAGGGCAATATAAAACGCCACTTTTATGTTCCATTAAATTTAATATTCCCTTTATGCTAATGCTATAATTACATAAGGCCACTGGACAGCAAGCATCTATTTCCAAAGGACAGTGTGTGTTTTTTCCCCAGAACGCAAAGAAGGAAAAAGACCTTTAACTTTTGAATTGGGGTGGGATAAGGGAGGGTGTGTGCATGCAAAACATGCACAAGACTTTTAATATTCATATCTAAGTAAATATCCTAAATCACTTTGGCTGAATTCTAGCTAGCACTATTTCAGAACATTTTGGCTACTTGATGTCTTATTCACAGATACAGTTTCAGAGTGTAAAGCACCAAATCCCTTTGGAACCCGAACATTTAAAATAAGTATGGACAGCTATAATAACTATAGGGAAAAGGTTTAAGAAAGTAAAACAAAGATGAGAAGCAGCAGATTGCTGAGGAGAGCTTAACTGCGAAATGCCCTTGCCAGTTACAGTAATGTCACCCTCACTATAGTGCATAAGCACTGTTTATCCAGTTGCAAGTAGATCACTTGTAATTTGAAGTAGCACATTTGTGCAAGTTCAAAATACTGTTGGCTTTCACTAGGTAGATCAGCTGACTTTCTCTCAGCCTGTAAGATCAGAGTTAGCTGTGTGAACACAGCATAACACAAGCTAACAACACATACAAGAGGACTAGCACAGGACTAGCACTATGAATACCTGGGTTTACCACAAAAGCATTTCTGTTTCTAAAACATACGTTAACTGCATTTCAGTTAGTGACCTAAAAAAGGACAATATGGAAGCACACCTGTGATTCCCTTACTTTCCTTTACAATTTGAAATAGAAAATCTATTTAAGTACCTGTAAGGACTAAAACAGAATCATAGTTCTAAAGAAACTCTAATGAAAGTATAAATAATATTATGCAGCAAAGTGATTGATCGTGTTAGTATAACAGACCATAATTATTACTAGATCCATAACTACAAGATAACCTGAAGCACTCAAAGTTTGTAGAGTGCCAAAATATTTTAACTGTGACTTTTTACTCTTGTTTGGCTTTCCAATAGGGTAGCCTTTAGTGATGGTTACTACTGTATCAGAAATTATACCAGAAATTTCAATTCTTGTGCCATCATTTCATTGTGGGGTAGTGTGTTGGGGGTTTTTTGGTTTTGGGTTTTTTGTTTGTTTGTTTGGGTTTTTTTAATTTCTGCTGACACTTACGAAATTTCCCTTCCAACACCCAGCACAACTTCCCCACAAGACACAGTCAAGGTATCCAAGGAACTTTCTGGTTCATATGACTATCATACAATAAGAAGCAATCCTAAAAAAGCCTCTATATATGAAATAACACAAGGATGTCTGCGAGGACAACAAACGGGTTTGGATTCAAAAGAATTTCATCAGTAACAGCCCCTGTGGAGTCACAATGCAAAAAAACCCCCAAGATTCTGTTGCTTGAGCTTGTATTCCCTCTCTTAAATCCTAACATTTCCTCAGCTAACTCCTGGCTTGCCCTAGTGATAACCATAATATTCTTGCAGATACTGAATTTCCTGATTCTGAAAGATGCTTACAATAACAAAGATGACCTGACTTCTGAAATTTTCTGTTCCTCCATGTTGACTACAAAAGCAATCCATGCAAACTATTGCACTTAACCAGGTTTGAAGCATCTATCAGATGTCTAAATATCATAACATCCATAAGGTAAATATGGACCTTAATCTGTGCCAGAAAGTTATTGTTTGCTTTTACTATGGATAAATGTTTCAATCTAACATAGTCATCATGCTCTCAGTTCTGATTTTTTCCTTTTAGAAGCTAAATATACAGGAATTTATCTGAGAGCCCAGTGAAACACTAGAAGTCTGTCCCACCATTACAGAACAGGACAGGACTTACCTGCAACTCAGAAACTTATCTCCTTCTCCAGTAACACTCTTTTTATAGATATGCCTTCCATGAAAAAGACAGAGGATCTGCTTAACTCAAATGAAGACAAATCAGGCTTAAGGTTTGCATTAGCTGGAGTATTACAATGAGATTAATATGCTTCTTGGTGTGCTAATAAAAAGAGAGACAAAATGCAATTGAAGAATAACTAGAATGGCATTAAGGACTTGCTGCCCTTGATCTGTTGCTTGCAGGAAGAAGCCTGCAAATGGCTGATCAGAAGAATGAGACAAAGGGGAACACGGAAGAAGTATGGAAGACAAAAGTTAGTGAGAAGATGAGACAGAAGTGAGATAAGAAGTAGAAAGAGAAGAGGAATCTGGGAAAAAAAAATGCTACCTGGTGAGCAGTGAGACTGCAATGAGCATGTACATGTGTATCTCCTGGTTCCTCACAGAGGAAGGAGACACTGCAAGCAGCAAACCTCTTAACTCAGCTGTCAGTAGCCTACAGGGGAATCCCACAGATTCCAGCTCTGCCAGTACACAGGAAAACTCAAATTCCTTTCCCTTCAAACTGATGCTTCAGTAGCATGCTCCTACCTAAGAAACTATAAAGAAAAACTAAGAATTAGCGAGGGTCACCAATCTCCAGCTCACCCCTGGAATAGTGTCCTATGCCAAATACAGAAAATACAGATCAAGGCTGTTTGTATCCTAAAATACGACAAGTAATGTCCAATCTGGTAATTCTAGGGTTAGGGCTGAAAGAAAACAATTTCAAATTTGGATAAACATATTTTTGCCCATTCATAAAAGAACAGAAAATTATTTTTGTGTAATCACTTTTACTCCTTCAGAACAGTTTGCTGGATCCTATCTAGAAAGCTTATCTCATTGAATTAGAAGAACTTCTAGGCTTTATAAACTATCAAGAGGCTGTTTTCTCTCTTTTATTTACATTTCCTAAGCTATCACACTACACAGAAAACTCAATCTTACATAGCATGTTGAAATGCCTTATAGAGAAGCTGAGAGCATGCTGATAGGTTATTCCAGTAATCTGCTTAACTAATAGTAGACAGGATTAGCAAATGAAAAAATAAAGCCTAACTGTAAGAGAAAAATGAATATTTGAAGAAAAAATAGTCTCAAGCTATATTTGACAGGAAAATTCATTGCTTGCCCTATCATCAAAACTTTCTGTCACTAGTGCAATATTACATCTGTGATGGAATACTGAAATACAGAATTCAGACTTCCTGAAACATTTTTGTCTCACATCTAATGCTAGTGAATCATCTCATGGAAAGAGAAGCCTACAACAGGTGCCATGGAGATGTACAAAGAAGCAGTACAATTTGTGTTTGCCTATGCTCTCGTCCCCTGGGTTCATTGCTGAATTACTGAGAGCCAAAACCTTTGGACATCAGTTAGTTTTCAGAAGCCCAAAAAAACAGTGAAAAAATGGTTTTAGTAATCTCCATGGCACAAAAGTCTCTGATTCAATCATAGCAAGGATTTCAGTCATCCTTTAGGTAATCTCTCTGACTCAAATTGAAAAAGCACCTGGGTTGTTGTGACAACAGTCATCTGACTCAAGGAAAACTTAGCCATTGCTTTTGGATCAGGAACAATAATCTGGGATCAGAAACCGCAAAACTAAAAAAAAAAATCTTAAGTTTTGCTACATAATGTGCATTTTCATTGAAAATAAAGATGTCTGTGTTGTTCATGGGAGTTTTAAAGCTCTCACAATGTAAACAGTTGTACATTCCACATCTGTGAATCAAAATAACTTTAATCAATTTCTGACAGAGGCAGGATCTCCTCCCTCCTCGCTGCTCTTATTTCAGTCAATTTACAGGGTTTAAATCATAACTAGATGTATTCATTGTTCAGTATATATCTTTATTTTTTCTACATATATATCGTTATTGTTTCTATATAATTCTATTCTATTTCATTAGTATCTTTCTATTAATATATTTCTATTCTATTTTTCTATTTTTTTCTATTTTTTCTATTTTTTCTACTTTTTCTACTTTTTCTTTAGATTTTGAACATGTAACCCCATACTACTGTAATATCAAAGTTAAGATATAATGACAATATAAATGCATAAAAAATTAATTAATTTTAACAGTTCCAGTCTTTATATTAATTTTGACATTATAGATTTAAATGTGTAACTTAAAAATTTTATATATTAAAGTGAAATTGATTTTATCAGAGGCATTTGGAATTATTTATCTGTTATATCTGTCTATCTATTTATATTATCAGTTGTGGTGATCATCCTCCAAGGATTTTTTTTAAAAAGAATCAGTGTTAAAATGCAGAAAAGCACTTCTAGTCTTTGCCATTGAGCTGATCTGCAGTGATGTAAAATGCCAGAAAAATTCCACATGTATGCAACAAAGTGATAAAAATACAGATACAAAATATATACTACTGTAAATGATGGCAACATAACTTTCTGTCACAGATGTTCCAAAAAAGCTGTATTAGAGGTATATTCCAAAATCTGGGATTGGACTGATAATAAGAGATTCTTACACATCAATCAACAGTCCTACCTTTCTGTTTCAGCTGCAGGGCCTTTCCTAGCTTGTTTTTGGCTGCTATATCTTTCCACTTTTCTGGACTGCCTGCGAAATGACATGTCATAAAAGAAATAAACAAAGAAGAAAAAGAATACAGAAATATGAAGATTATTTATCCATGTATTATAAAGGTAATAAAAGAAACAGTTGCCAGATGAGAAAGTGACAACTATCATCATAAACAGGCTGATGAAGTCTAGTTCTAAGAGCCATTGCATTAATTAGGTTTGATTGAAGCTCATGGTGTGCAGCTCATGAGGTACCAAAACAGGGAAGAAAACATCAACCCTGACTGAGCCTGCAACTACTTTGCACTTCACAGCCTGCATTCGACTAGAAACAATGACTCCTCATGGCCCTATAAGGCATCTCTTAACAGCATGAGAAACAAGTTCAGAGTAGACAGCAGGAAAAGAACCTTGCAGAAAGAAATAGAAAATATTATTTGAAGGTTTAAATCAATCTAAAAATTGCTTTTAAATCTAAATTTCAAAAGTAAAACAAATACTGCATGATAGCAGATTTAAAAAAGGCTGTCACTACATTAATAAAAACTTGTTTTTTTCAAAAATCTCATTCTATTACCTTTTAAAGTTTTTAGAAACAGATTAAACCAATCCTATTTTCTTTCTAGTCAATATAAGTAAGTTAGAAATTATTTCACTCCTTCAATCCTTTCCTACACAAAGCTTTTACAGAATTCATCTGACATTTGTATAACGAGGCACTAATTACCTCAGACAATCTAAGCACTCCCTTTGATATTAAATAATAACAATGAGGAGTAATAGGAGTCTACACATATAAGAACAAAGGTAAAGCCACGTTTCATCATTATTACCCAGGACTATAAATATAATAAGCAAATCTCTGCATATCTTTTGTTCCAAAAGTTTCTGTAGTATCCACAGTAATGTCAGTATTTACAAATTAGGATTACTACTTTAAACCTCAGAAAATCATCAATATGTATTATTTTTTCAGAGAAAAAAGTGCACACAGTGTTTCAGGAAAGGTAAAACCAGGGAGTGATGATTATTCAATCCTAGACCAGAAATGCTGACAAACTAATACATGCAAGATCTTGCAATGAAACAATCAATGTCATGTATCAGGCTATACAAATTACTGTGGGCAAAACAGACAAAAATAACATTTAAAATAGCATGTTTTCCTTTTAAACCATTGTGGTTATAAAGAGTAATCCAGTGCCTGCACTGGAGGAGACCTAAACAGCTGTGACACCAAACTATGCCCAAAGAACATAATCATAGTTGTTTTTCATTATTTTTACCCGCTGCAGTCTTTGATGAGCTTTTTATGGTGATGCAGTAGATTCTACAAAAAAGAGAACACTGCAGCAAAATACAAAATACTTTCTGCATGAGCAGAGCTCATAACCTGATGCCTTCGGGATTTTAAAAAATGTATTTTCTCACAAAAAATAGTATGTCAGATTAGAAACAGAAATCCCTTTTGTCCTCAATCTATTTTATTTTTGTATATTGTCATTGTTTTTAATTTTTTTCCTTTGCCAGGACAAATATAAAGTGGATACAGAGGAAAACAAACATATTAAATGCTGCAGCTTTATTTAAAACCTACAGTTAGCAAAGTTTTTTAAGTTATGGCTATATCCACTGTATGCAGCAGCATTACCATTCAAATTATGCCACCCTCTTCATTTTCTGTTTAGTTGGTTCTGTCTGGGGCTTATTTTTCTCTTACTCCTAATGTTGCTTGCCTCGATTGTGACATTGCACACAGTGGAGTAGGAGATCTCACAGTGAGTGGTTCCAGTGGGATGGAAAAGCCAAGAGCAGGATGTGCTTTGCTGTGACAGGTAACACAGCAATACACAGCACTAATGAGCTGAGGACACTTATTTCTCTGCTCTCAGGGCAGTCTTGAGAGCAGCACATACTAGAAATTAGTGAAAATCAGTTTCCTTTTTGGTTCCTCCCTCTGGCTAAGATGATGCTGTATACATTTCCAATCAGCTCAACATGCTCTGACTTACTTCCTAAACATACTGCATAGGAGAAAAAAATATTATCCATGAATGATACATGCACATATGTACTAGTACATAAAACAGGGAAAAAAAATAAAAAGGAATGTGTGAAAGTATGTAGAGCACATGAAGAATATACTGTAACCAATACCTCATTTACTTTGATCTATGATTTGAGTAAATAAGGATACCTCTGTGCTGCTCCAGGTTTAGCACTTAGGTGGTCTACACTGTCCTGTTTTGGAATGCAAGACTCCAGCGTCCTTGTTCTTCACAATATTTGGAAACATGGATGTGAATTTGGACGGAATGAGCAGAAACAGAGAGATGATCACATGCAGTGAAGGTGGAGACATGCAGGCAAATATATAAACAAAAAGCATTAAGTCACTATCTACTGAAAAAAGCCGTATTTCTCATTTTCCTATTCCAAACACTATAAAATTTTAGATGTCAGATCAACAGTCTAAGATGTAAAGATGTATAGAATGAAAGCCACAACAACAACAGTATTTTTAAAAACCATTATATGCTCTACATGCTGAATGGCAGTTCTGTTATTTAATTTATGGTGCAATTATCCTTCTTGAGAATATATAAACATACAAAAAAACTATTTGCTTAAGAAGATGCATATTTTGTCATTATATTGTGAAATTCTCCCAAAAATACAAGTAAATTTCCTGATTTCATGCATTTTGATGATACCTTCATGTTCCATTGCCACACAGTCTGCTACAGTAACAATTTTCAGTAATTCAAGAGTGAAGTAGAATAACTGACTCAGATTTTTTTTAAATAAAAAGTATATAGGAATATCTTTGAATTTCTATGGAATTTTAATTTCTGCTGAAGCTGTAGAATTTCTTCAGAGCTTTCAATCTGGAAAAAATATTATCTTGTTGGTTTATTATTCATTTTTAATGAAATATATGACAAGATCCATGAATAGAATATTTTTTTTTCAAATATAAAATTTGAACTTTAATGAGAAAACTCAGCAAAATTTGTGGTCCACTAATAACCTAAGTTTTGTATTATATCTGCATCTATACCCAGTAGGGTCAGGAATGGCTAAAATTTCTCCCTAAGATCATAAATCTTCCAACTGTCACACCAAATCATTGAACAATACATATCATATTTAGGCAAACACTACATATTGTTTTATATACAGACAAGCTATTTACAGTTCATGCTCCAAAATTCTATGTGCCTCAGTATATTTAACTGTCAACAAATCTACAGACAGAAATTTATAATATGCCTACAGAAATTAGAAATTACTACTTCTGAAATGAAAACATAACACTGTTGTACAATTCAGTGTCCAGTATTTTTATATTATTTCTTACTGTTTTGTACAGGAGCCCTCAGTGGCTTGCAGTGAGTGTTACTTTATGTAGCCTTGAAGCCACCAGGAATGTCATGTTCAACACTTCCTGACTTTTACTGAAGTTTCCTTAAAGGTTGGATCTGCATGGTACCTGCAAGTACCAGAGGGCACTTGCTCTGCAGCTGGCTTCAGGTGACTCTGGGACAAGCATTCTCACACATGCATGCATGACTGACAGAAGCCACTTCTCTCAAATGAAAATATATAAGAATTCCTTTTTTTAAAGGCTCATTTTATCCAGTCTTGGTTATATGCTGATGTTATATTGCAGATTTTTCCAAATGAACAATCTGAAAAAAAAAATCACCTACCATTAAATACTCAGCTTTCATTCACCTTGTTTTTATCATCACTTAAATTTCACAGATCTCCAGATACCCATCTCTCTACACTGTAGACACTAGACATTTAGACTTCCTAATTTCTAATTAAAAAACTGAAAAAACTTTCAAGGAATTATGCTATTAAATCCAGTAGAAAAATTATCCTTCAAAATATCTTATAGAAATAAATGATACCAAACATTTCCAAATTTTTAACACTGAAATAATACATAACTCATGTCTTCTCATCAAGTATCAAGGAGACACTTCCTGATACAGCAAGTGAGCAAATTCCAGAAGAACAATCTTGCCAAATATTTTATCAAAACTTATGTTAATAACCATTAGAAATAAATACAATGTTGAAAAAAATTAATTTGTCAAAATTAGAAATAATGTAAACTTAGAGTAGAGAACAAAGGGAAAGCACCTATGATTGCTTCACTGATGTTCTCTCTACAGATATGCAAAAAACTCAAGGTTCTCAGGACTTCTCCTAATATCAGAGAAAATCTTGGAACTCACAGGCTGCAAACACTCATCAGCATTGAGGTTAGCTTTAATTCCTTCTGTGCTCATCAGTGCCTGACTGCCATCACTTGGTTTGGTGACCAGATTGCATGCAAGATTTCCAAACACAGGTAGGCACTGATTTCATGTAGAAAATCAGACTCCTGTTTATCCATCTCAAAACCCTTGCCATTACAGATTCCATATCCTACAGATGTTTCAGTGTAAAACGTTTGCTAGTGGGCATTAGATGATTTCAGCCTTTCTCCACAAAATTTCAGCTGATGTAAAAAGGCTTACTATTTGGCACTGAGAATGGAAGTATTTAGAGGAAAACTTTATTTCCCTTATTTTTTCAATCTGATACCCTGAAGTCAAAGGCAATCTTTCAATTGACTCAAAAAAATGAGAACCAAAATTACTTAAAAACGCCCAAAAGACATAAAGTACATTTCTAAACTCTTAGTAGTTGTCCCATCAAAGGTATGTGTTGGCAAAATTTCTGGAAATGCAGTATCTGTAAGGGAGGACAGCTTCAAAATGATGTTTCACTACTTTAATTCTCTAATTTATAATGCTGTTTAACTCCAGTTAAAAAAAGAAAATACTACCCACACACAGTTACACTCTTCCCACCTGGTCTGAGTGGAATATTTCCAGTATCAAGTAAACAAGATAAATCACAGTAAAAATATTAGTTCTGTGGGTAGACTTCAGCAGAAGGCCAGGACTGGCACCACTGGTATTTCAGCCTTAAAACAATTTTAAATGCAGCTTCATAAGTTCATGTAAAGATTACTTACATTAATCTGCATTTACACTAATCTGAGTCCTGTCAGTTACTGTAATACAAAATACTGAAAGAAAAATTTTGAAATTGCACTTAAATATAAATTACAATGTCTGCTTGAAATATCTATCTGGAAATAAAATAACAAAGAAAAAAATTACTGCTGCCAACGCAGTGGGATACCAAAACTCATGTGATTAGAAAGCTTATGAGAAGTAAAAAGCAAAGGTGCTTTTAATAATCATAGATGATACTCAGCATAAAAATTTACTTAGAGCCCTGATGTTCTTAATCAAAACCTACCTTATTAGGAAACCTGCTCCATGGAGGCCATCCTGATTTGGACAGAATTTACAAACAGTGCCAATTTTTACATACATCAAGTACAAAGTGTTAACAAGACCTCCAACATATCAGCCTGTGGGTTTTTTTCCCATTAGGAACAGTTTGTTGAAAAAAGGAAAACCAAAACCAATGAAAACAAACATATACACAAGAATATGCTCTACAACAAGTATTTATCACATTATAAAGCACCACAGTGAAAGCACCAGCACCATTTACAGAAGCAGGTAAAGACAGACTAAACAACATTGACACAGATGATGCTCTGTTGTACCAGACATCATATTTCATGCCTTGTGACTATTCAGACAAACAGAAAACTTGAAAAGATGTTCATTCTTCTGTGCTTTATAACAGCTCAACAAAACGCAGAGATGATACCTAAACTGCTGTTTTATTTTGGGCTTCTGGAGGTTGCAAGTCTCCACACAAATGCACACTTCTAATTTTCAGTGTACTCCTCTGAGAGTGCAAGATGCAGTAAGGCATTTTTCAGCTGGGAGGAGCTGACTAGTACCTGTCATCCTCCGGAGATGCATGCTGGATATGAATCCTGGGACTAGTAGGTCGTCTCCTCTCTAGGGAGGGGGACCATCTACCCCTGTTTGCCCGTTCAATAAAACAGGAAAAAAATACGGTATTTAGTTTGTGGTAAAATTAAATATATGGGATTTGGGACTGGAAAAATACCCCAAAAAAGTAATGAAAGTGTGTAATTTAATTATTTTTTCTAACAGCTTTCTAATACCCAAGTATACTTTAATTAAGGCTGCTTAATGCAAAAACATCCCATCTGAAACAAAGAGAAGGTATGCCCAAAGATGCACAATTTAGACCAATATAAATCTTCTATATGGTGTACCATTAAGTTTTCAAATATTCTCAAATGCTTGACTACCTAAAAGCCTGTCATTTGTGTAGGAAGCTGCAATTCCAAATTAGAAAAGACTTATAAGACTGTATGATGATCATTATCTTGGTATTTTTCTAATCCCATCTCTCCTAGCTATTTACACAGAAAAATGTAATCTCAGTAAAAATGTAGGACTGTTAATTATGATAAAAGTTCTAGGGCATAAAGTCATCCTTTTCTGGAATGCAGTGAAAGAATACAGGTAAATTATTTAACTAAAACTAAGCTACACACATTTGTGTACAAGTACTGGAGTAATTTTTTATCATTTGGAAACATATACTAAAAGCGTGTGCAGCCAGCTTCCTCTTCTATTCATTTCTCTTTATCCCTGCAGTACATGCAAGGACATTATGTAACACAACTAATGTCAACAAAAAGGACCTGAATTGAGAATGAAAACTGGTGTATTATGAGATTTCTTTTCTTGAAAATCTCATTAAATTCAGAATGATAAATACTATAATATAGACTGATGCTTTTGTTTGTAATGCAACAATTGAATGCATAATGATTAACAATACCAAAACAAACTGATTTATTGACAAATAGCAAAATATTTGCATAAACTTGGCACAAGTATCTAATATTTCCCTTTCTGAGGCATTCTTCCAGTCCATGTAATAAGGAAAAGGGTTTGATTTATGGAACATGCAAATAACAAAGGTTTTAGGGACATGAGCATTATTTGAACAGTTAGGTAGATCTTTCAGATGTTTCAAGAGCAAATAGGTTGTTAGTAGTTAGCTTCTTTTTCTCTCCAAAGCAAGAGTTAAAGAAAATGTTAATGCATCAGTGCACTCAGACAAAGCCCTTAATATGCTGATATCCACTACAGATATTAAAGAGCATTTGCAAGAATTAACTAGGAAATTCAGTAGGAATTTTCAGAACATGGTCCTTCCATTGAATGCTGAATGACTGTGAGCCACAGTACAACACCAACATGTAGCTACCTACTTCTTTACATGCTTGGAAAGAACCAGAAAGACAGCATGTCACAGACCTAATGCAAACACGTATTTCACTGTACATCATTTTAAATGGAAATGGGGGTAATTGACATAACTGTTAAGGGCATGCAATATAAAAATCAACATGAATTCAGGACAAGCTTCAATTGGATCAACCTCCCTGGTATCTGTTTATGATTAGGTAACAGGAAACTGCTGATCTTTGTCTCTTGTTTAGCTAGTAGTGGCCAGCTGATGGCAAACATCCTGTTTTGATTCCCACTGCAGTGAAACACCTCAGAACAAATCTAAGACAGCTGTGGGGCTGTATTTTGCAGGTTTGCTGATCCTTGTACATGACCTAATCCCTGGGCTGTGCTCCTCAGTTTTATTTGCTCAGACCTCCACTAAGTGATGTCTCAGGCCTAAAGCCAATACTATAAGTACAAATCAGTGCAACTGTTCTTGCGCTAACACACATACAACTGCTTGCAACAGCAGAAATTTAGAGGGTAAGTAATAGCCACACTACATATTTTTAACTATCACTGACTGCAATCTTAAATCAGTCTGGGGAACATGCTATTATGATAAGAAACCATTCCTAAATCAGTTCAGAGTCTGCCCTTGAAACTCATGTCTAGGTGTTTTCCTGAGTAGAGACTGGGTTTCAAAAAGAAATTTCTCCATTCTAAAGAAACAGCACCCAATTTATAAGGAAAGAAGCAGAAATTTTGAGATGCAGTGAAAAGGATAAAAATGAAAAAACCCAAAGCATAATGAAGCAGTAGCAGGAAAAACACTTTCAATGGCAATAGAAAACATTTGATAAACTTAAAGATGCTTACAGATCATCAAAGGAACTTCAACCACAGAAACATTTTGGAAAAAAAAACAAATTAACAAAACAGCTTGGAATAAATAGAGGGTAGATGGTGGGGAGAGGAAAAAAAAGGCGGGTATGGTGCAACTGCATAGAGGTATTAGTAGGGGAGCAATATTTCTGAATGTCCTAGAGTGTACTGTGCAAAAGAGAAGTAAATTAAGAATTAAACTCTGTACAAAATCAGTACATTTAACAAAAAAAAATTAGCATGCCTGTGTCAAGGCGAGGTCAGTTTGCCAATCAAGTTTTATGGACTTGGTCAAATGATGGAACTTATAGGAGGAGAAAAGTTCTATTGCTGTTTTTTTGGTTCTGCTATACTGAAACTAACTAGACTTTCATATCACATATTTGTATATAGAGCTTAAAGTAGTTTTCTGCTGGTATAAGCAAGTCAATAGAATGACTTTTACCAGCAAAGCAGTGTCTTAAAAACCAGTAACTACTCTGACCATTCCAAATGAATGATATTGTATAAAGTTCAAGGATCAAAACTGTTTCCAGCAAATCAGTGACAAAGAGGGCTCCACTGTCCATCTGTTATAACACTACCATTTTGTTAAAATGTGGTTTATTTTAGCTCTTTTTCTCAAATATAATCTAATTCATACCCTCTGAGTCAAAAGGCGAGGGGGAATAAGTAGAATTTTCCATAGGTAAATATGTTCCTAATTTTGTTAAATATACAAAGGTGTATTGAGAAGTCTGTATTTAGAGGCATAAAATTCTAGACTTTCAAATAATACCTGCAATGCTGTCATTCCAGGAGAGGAGAAGGGAGAAGAAACAACATGAAAACAACTAACATCTTCAACATGAGTCTCTCAAATATACTGATAAAGGGCTGTAGATTGGACTTCATAAAACCTTAGAGTGCTTCTCTTTGATGGATCAATTCTAGACCTGATAAGTGTCTCATCTCCTCTAAGTCTCCAGTAATGAAACAACCTTTTCAATGCTGTCTATTACATTGTAATTTTTATTTTGTTTAGTGTTTCACTACAATTACTTTCAAAAGATATTTCCTACTGCTTAAGGTGAACTTGTCTTACTGTATTTTTAATCTTTTGTTCTCATCTTGTCCACCACAGAACCAAAATGCTTTCTACAGACCCTGAACTTAATTCTGTGTTCTTCAGACTAAAGACTCCTCTATCATCACATGCAACTGAGGACTAACTTCATGTTCAAGTGTAAGCAAATTCCACATTGAACAGAGGAGAATTAAATCATCGAAAATTTATGTTCCCCAAAACAAAAATATTAATTTGGTGGGGTTTATATATTAAATATAACATCCTCCTCCAAAATTTGGGTTGCATAAGAAAATCTTCTATGTCACAAGAAAGGAAAAAAAAAATCCTCTGCCAAAGCCACACGTACCTTATTATTTTCAATGAAATTATCAAGAAAAAATTGAGTATCAATTTCCTTAACAAGAACTTTTCTGCTCTATGAAGGATACCAAGTCAAAATCTCCTATTTAGGACTTCTAAAAGCTAAGAAAAACTTTCACAGTGATGGGCAGTTTTTTCTGGATCAGACCCACTGATGATTTGGCAAAATCACATGTTTAGTAGCAAGAGAGGCCACTAATACAGACTAAACACTTTTCTTTATATACATCCTTCTGCTCATGCAAAATGATGCAGATTCTGCACAGTGCCCAGCGGACAGAGGTGGACATGAATTCTAAAGGCATAGTAGAACCACTTCACATCAGGACAGATGTAGTTTTGAGTATACAGTTTATAATTACCAGTCAGTGTTTCATTGAATATTCAACTTGATGGGTGGCAGAACACACTGCTCACATTTATATGTAGTTACATTAGGTAACTGCTTGTAGATGAAGGCAGCTGTATGTATGTACACACTCAGTAATTAATTTGATGCTACAATATTTTTAAAAAATATCTAGAAAAATATCTGTATTTCATTCTGAGTGGCTCTATATCAGCTGTTTTTAAAATTTTTTTTTTTTAACAACCAGGTTCATATTATCTGTAATGTCTTGAGCTCAGACTTAAAAAGGAATAAACTACTGTAGATCCATCAGGGATACCTCAGCAGAACATTAGTCCCTTCTCTGCAACAAGAGCGTAACTTTAGAAAAAGCAAAGTTCCAACCAAGGAGCAGCAGGAAGTGGGGAGAAAGGAAAGGGAGATTTTAAACAAAAAACTCTGTTAAAACCCTATCTTAAAGAGGAAAGTGCTTTCTTAGTGCCTTTTTCATGCATCCTGCCCCACAATAAAGAAACTAACACAACTGTTACAACCAACACACTGTGTATTGACTAATAAAAGCATTATTAACTTCCATACTAGTTAAACACGTACTGGACAGACTAAAACATAATTCTGTCCTATTCCCACGCAAAGGGAGCTTATTATTGCACTTAATGAGCCTAAAGTCTCACTCTAAAGTGGTATAATTCCTAGCCAAAAACATGAGTAGTGATGCAAAGTTCTCTTGTGGAATCACCTTTTTAACACCAGTTGTATGTGATTCACCTAAAATTTTGAATCAAGCTATTGTAATTGTAGAAGTACAGAAAGCATCCATAACATGCCTGCACAATGTACATGACACAATAATATTTCATTTAAATTGCAAACATGTCTTAAGACTCATGTGAATCTCAATATTATATCAGAGCAAAAAAACCTTAATGCAGTTATCCACCTTGCAAAAGCAGATGCAGCAGGTTAAAGAAAGCAATGATGTTATGCTGTTCTGTAAGAAATATATCAGTATTGATACAGTTCTGGTTTGAAATGTGAAAGTTTTGTTGTATTTTCTAATTTATGCCACCGCTTTATTAGCAGTCCACAGAAAAAGCAAGAAACAGATGTAATGCTTTTTAGCAAATGATGATGAAGAATCACAACCAAGTGGTAGTTTCAAAATACTTAACACTGCAATGCTATTATCAGCATACTGAGGACTTTTGTAAACAATGAACATCAGCTTGAACTAAGACAAAGGAAGTAGCTGGAAGCGGTCATAAACTCCAACACACAATTTACATGACATACATGAATACAGGAGCAAAAATGTCTACAAATACCAAAGCAGACAAGAAATGTACAAGAATGTGGAATAGTCATATGAAGAAAAACAAAACTTATAAAGATCACCAGCACAGATGACAAGAAATTCATAAGTTTTTATTTTATACCTTTCTCGTTCTGGTGAATGCAAACTAGTATCTGGTCTCAAGCAGTTGGTACTAGCACTCCTAGCCCTGTCAAGGGAGGGCTGCAGTTCACTAGTGCCAGTGCATTGCATCCAATGGTAGAAGAGAAAGAAAAAGAAAACAAAGAAAGGAATACAATGTTAGATATTAACTCATAAAATAATGCTCTCTTTACAGAAAATGTAGAATCACAATGATTTAATTAAGGAAAACGTAAAAGGGTTGACTGGATGATAGTGTCAAGAGTTGTTTAGAAAATAAAAAGCAAACAAAAGGCTGCGAGAATTTTTTTGCAAATATCATTGAAATGTTTAAAACTGAATGAGACAGAACAGCATCCACTTGTGAGAAAAGTGGAATGAGAAATACCAAACAATAAAGTTATATCCTTATTAACAGCAATAAGTTTTAAGCCAACATAAAATAATGTGATCCACTATATGTCATGTGAAATCCCTTTACAGTGAAGCTCATTTATTCTGCAAAATCCATATTAGATACCAAACAAGTGGGGGGATTAATCCTCAGTGTCTTACCTAACCAGCAGATCATCTCCAAATTTCGATATTCGTAAATTAAGGCAATCATGAAGGAGTGAAATATCCTGTCTAATCACGGGTTTGGTCTTAGCACATGCAGGAAGAGTTGAGCTTTGTAAATTAAAATTATTTAAACAAAATGAAAATAAATTTAACATGTAACAGAAATCTCATACATAAACAAAAGAATGTAACAGAGAAAAAACATGCAACATATAATTTTAACAGAGAATACAACTCCAACTAATACAGAATAGTTTGTTTTAGGGTTTTTTTGTAACATAGGTATTAATTTAAATAACTAGATGAAGTTATTTTAGGATTTTATCCCTTATCTCTCAGTCACAAAAATGTATGAAACATTTTGTTATTTTTTTCTTTAACAAGGGAAGTCTACTTATTTTTTTTAAAAGAAGGTAACTACTTAAAGGGGACTCTAAACACTTCTTACCTGTATAGGTTCCAATGAGTACCATTTTCTAGCAAAGGCATCTTGGGTGGTAATGTTTTACAATGCCTAACAGAACTTCTGGAATGTGGTGGGTCAGAAAAGAACAAAGGACAACACAAAAAAATGCCGGAAATAAAAAGACAGGTAAAGGCAAGCCAAGACTGACCAGAACATAAAATAAATGCATAATATTCTATTATATTGTTTAGCTGTAGGAATAGATATCTCATCTATGTTTTTCTCAAGTACTGTGACAGCTATCTGGAGGGAAAAATTTTGTATTAACCCTTTTCTTAATAAAGTGCAAGAAATTATGCCAATGCTAGTACAGCTCAGATGTTTTCTTGAAATGGAAGTAATATATATTCCATTTATAGATACTTTAAATTAAAATGTGCAGACTGTTTTAAGTTTATATTAAATTACTCTTTATTTCTCTTAGTGATGCCTTACTTAGACCTGCAGAAATTTTTACCTCTCCAGTAGCTAAGCATGAAAGTCTCACTAAAACAGGGATATAGAGCATCAAAAATTCAATTACAGATGTATTAGCAGCTGGATTTTTTGAATGTGGAAGTCTTTTGAAAGTGATGTATCAGATTCAAAATCCACCAGTAATTAAATGTTATTAATTATAAGCTAATTTAAAAACTTAGAAGTATTACATCAGCCAGCACAGCAGCACTAAGGTGACAAATGACAACTGTCTAATATCATCATAGATTTCAGAGAAGGAAATGTTTATTTTATCAGCCAGCTCTCCCCACTGAACAAGAGAGAAATTTAAAGGCAGAGAGCAGCTGCTGAATGGCAATTATGGCCATTTAATGGCTAAGGGTTAGTAACAACTTTCTAACAATTTCCACACACCCTACAAGGGCACAGCTGTGGAACTACTGGGAGAAGAACCAGCAGGCTTGAGGATTTTGCAGCAGTCTGTCCTGACAGGACATTTCATTCCTGTTAAGCCTTGGGCCAAAGCACAGCAGGATCAACATTAGAAACCTGGCTGTGTCACAGACAGATGAAACAACTCTCTGCCTGGAAACATCAGTGTTTGTAAAACCCTAAAGGATTTAACAGAGGAGCTTTGACCCTCCTTGTATGGGTTTGGTGGCCACCACTGGTGAATTCTCTATCAGAGGTCACTGTAAAATGGCACAGGAGGAAAAAAGGAATGGCTGTCACCAATCCTGGCTTATGGGCAGATATTACCAATCAAACGAGGGGTGATCTAAGACATGGAATATGGCAACCCATGATCTATAGCATAGGTAGACAGCTTTCCACCATTTCTATTAGTTAATAATTGCATACAGAGCAACAGGATGGATAGCTAGGACTAGTATTTCAAACTGGTATTACATTAAACTCACCATACATATTAACTCTGTAGCTTAGACTACCTAATTTCTTTCATTTAACATGAACCCATTAACATTTCTTTCCCATTTTAAGCTGAAGCTGTCTCAAGGACTAATTAAACCATTGTTCAGAAAGCTGCCTAGAAAACAAGAATAAAGCCTTATAAAATTTCTAACATGAATAAATGTCAGGTCACTAGAAATAACAAAGGAAAGAAGATGGCATAGAACAAATTTTTGCTGAAACTGTTTTCAAAATTATTCTTTCAAGAACATATATTGCCAGTTTATTTGGAATTGGGGTGTATAAGCCTCAGAGGTAAATTTAGAAGAATTAATCTATTGTCATCTATCGCTTTTATATTCATCTTCAATACATTATTACAAGTATCACCCTCGTTTATAGTATACCACTACCATTACTTTTAAAGGGTGATTTTTTGTGATTATTTGATCACAAAAACACTGTAGTAATAAATGGAATAAAGAAAAAGGCAAGGAAGTGCTATAGGCTCTGAATTCAGTGTAGCTATTACCTAACTCTAATTGCTGTCCTTGCAAAAAGGACACAACTTAGAAAAAATTGTGCAGAACTTTTTGCTGTGACCAGACTGGTTTAGTAGATTTGTAAAACTATTTGAAAGCTAATGGCTGGGCAAAGACATAAAATAACAAGAAGTCAAATAAATGTTAAAATTAAAATCTTGATGAAAAAGTCTTTTTAGCTGAAATACAAGAATGAGAATATTTCTACTGATAACAAAAACTTAACGGCTTCACTGATGCAGATTTTTTTGAAAGCTTACATATTTATTTACTATTTTTATACTACTCTGCTTTATAACAAAACCCTATCACAGCATCTTCAATACTGCTTCAAATTTGATAATGAAAATTAAAGCAAGCCAAGACATTTAAAAAAAATAAACAGTACTTTGTAAGAGAAAATCCTAAATCAAATAAAAGAATAATAGCACTAGACAACATAGTTTAACATTTGGTGATTTTAAACATTTAGCACTGACACAAAACTCTCATCAACTTCCTGATCCTGAAGGGACAAAGGATAACCACCTGATTGCGTTAATTAAATGGTTAACTACTTTAACTTCAACTTACATTTTTATTTATAGTAAATGAAAGATGTTCTACACAATGTCATGGATTTTTAACACAGTTAACAGACATGGTGGTAAAAAAGGTGGGGGAGCAGACTTTGATTTTTTAGATAAAGATATTTCAGTCCTGTTTAGTTTCACAACTCTGGAAAGTGGTAAAACAGGGAGCTCCTAGCTTTGAAACAAGAGATTATAGAAGACTGAAGATGGGCCCAAACTACAAAGTTTACATGTGGATCCAATTTATAGAACAATTTTTAGATGCAAAAACAAGTGATACAAAACCCCTCAAATCTGGGACTCCAGTAAGCCCTTGTACATCAGGATTTATTCCTCTGCAAGTGACTAAATCAGCATGAGATCAAGTGTCACAACAAGCAAAGATTGTTTGATTGTGCATAGCTGTTATATAAACATAAAAATGCAAACAAAAGAAAAAAAAAACAACTAAGAAACCAATGTTTGAAATTATTACAATGCTCATGCATTGGGAGATCAGGACTTTTGTGACTAGACAGAAAATCTACCAGAAAACACAACTGCAAAACCAAAGTTTCTTCAACTCCTTTAGTCCTTACTACTGAGATTCAAAAACAGATACACACATCTGAACCTAAATTAAAACAAACAAAAAAGAACGACTGACATCTGGATCACAATGTCCTTGGAAGTTCTTTATGTACTGGGACTGAATACCACCATGGAGAAAACGTTGGGCACACAAAGTGGGCAGAACTAAGCAGGTGTGTTTGAGATTCCCACACTCCTGTATTTACCTGATGGTGTGTAGGCACTCTGCACTTCTTCCTCGCTTTGCTCTGGGCAGCATAAGAAGCTCACTGCACAGACAGGATGGGTGGTGAGTGAAACAGATATAGTTATGAAGCATTAGATGACATGGGTTATGCCAATGATAAGCAAATGAAAACATCAAAAGAAATGAGAAGCATTCACCCAGATAGATAGTCTGATAAGACTGCATGTCTCAAAATATATGAGTTCAAAAATGCATGTAATAACTACATTTTCAACAAGTTCATTTTAGTGTGGCACCTCCCTCTGTGATATTTTTCGTTTAACTTCAGATTTACTTTTTCACAGCTCTTCATGATGAAACAAATAACATAAAATGGCTACAGTTTTCTAATAACCTCCTGTCTCATGAACTAATTAATGGAGAACTGCTTTAGGAAAAAAAAGAAAGATGTCTGTTGTTTGCTTTGTGTTGGGTTTTGTGGCTTCCTAAGCTACAAAATCATACAGGTAAAAGCAGTGAAGGTTTGATAATGATTTAATGCAGGTTGGTTTATGGGAAGAATAACCATTCACTCTTTAGGGAAAATCAAAAATATATGTTCATTTGAAATATGGTGTTTGGCCAAACAGAAATTCTGACTGATAGCTCCTAAAAGGTTTTTGTAATGATAATCCTAAAGAAACAAATAAAAAAACTAATCAGCCATCAGACTTGTGGTTTCTTATTCTCTCAAACTGAGGAAAATCAGCCATCTATTCTACTTTAATTATATTGTAAGCAAACACATACTATAGCCAGCAAGATGGTAAAATTAATGCATATTTAAGCCTATGGTAAATATGACTATGATATGAAATATCCCTTGAATAAGCCTGTAGTTTTATGCACTTCAACACAATCAGAAAGAGCAAGCTTCAAAACTCCTATCATTGTAAATATGAAAATAAAGGTAAGCTTCATGGAAACATGCTAATTTTAAAAGAAGCAGGGAATCCCATGAAGTACTATGGCAAAAAAAAAAAAAAAGAGAGAAAATATTACAAGACAGATAAAGTAGCAGTTGTTCAATGTGTTTCATACTTCATGTCATTATAAAATGATGCATTTCATTGATACACTATAGGCATTATTTACCTAAAATTCTAAACATGGCAGACTGAAATAATGGCTTGTGAGTCATGTAAGACTTAATTACATCTGGAGCTGCCAGCTTGATGTAACAACACGAACTAGAGTTGAACTGAATCTTTAAATTTTCTTTCTAAGCCAAATTTCTATTCATAAGATCAGACAGAATTTATATGCATCTTTCCACATTGCAAACTATGGATTTTAGGAAAAAAGTCACTATTTTCTTTAGAGTTGCAAAGTAGATGCAAAGTCCACATTAAATCATAGAGTACTTTGTTAATATTTACATTTCGTAAGCCAAAGAGTATCTATGGTAATTGGCCCAAAGCAAACACTGATAAAAAAGTCATCCTGAAAAGTGATATAAAATAACAAATTCACCATGGAATTTTCTAGTTTAAAAAAAAGCAAAAGAATCCATCAAGAAGATTACCAATATTGTGAGACTATGCAGTTCTCTGATAAATTAAGTCTGTTTTGGAAGACATTTAAAGTAGAGATTAATATTCACAAATAAATGTTTTCTATACTCATAATTGAGATATTTTACTTAGGAATAAAAGAAACACAAAAAAAGAGTGCCATGCTTTTGAAAATTGGACAATGGTTTCCTAATAAAAGGCTTTTCCTAACAGTTTATATATATTCATATATATATATATGTATGTATATATGTATATAAATATATATAACACTGTTGAAGTGGACAAATAAGTTCCACTGGAAACTTATTGCAACAGATGCTTCTGTAAGAGAGTGGTAGTACCTATTTTCACAAAGACCTATATTATGATTTAATATTGATTTTGAACCATTAATAGATAATTGAGAAAACTTTTGAAACTAATCAGCCGCTGCAATCTCTGGCATGCAATTATTGGGTAGTTCCTCAGCTTTCAAGCCAAGTTTACATTAGATATCTATGTGAATGTACTTGTTTAGGTGAAGGGTTCAGTAAATGCACAACACAATATCTACACTACTCTTGATACTAATCCATAATATTTAATGAAGTTGGGTTTTTTAATTCTTGGATGTGACAGAGGATCTTTCTTAACAAAACCTGGTTTGGATCTTTCATATGATGCTATTCTTTTGTACTGAAAGCTGGCAAAAACCAGCCAGAACTAAACAGACTTCACAACTGATCAAATCTGGAGGAAAAGATGAAAAGGAAAATGGGGAAAAGGAGACCACTGCAGACAAGATTATTACTCAAGAACACAAGTACATGGACCCATCTTTAAATCTTGAAAATCAGCAATGTACATCCTTCATGTCTGAGCTTTAAACTTCCAAAAAAGTTTTGTGAACACTGAAAAGAATTGAAGACTCTGAACAAATCCAGCAGCCCATTGCTCATCCCCAGGAAAGGCTCAGGGTAAACCCAATTCCTCTCCAACCATAATCCATGGATATATCACCAGTTATATCCAGGTTTGAGACTTTACTAAAAGAGAAATTTCTAGACAGCTAACTGTCTGTATTTATACTGACAAAAGCTACTTTTTAAAACCTTTTTCTCTTCAAATCTGATTAATAACAAATCAATTCAATAAATATCTTCAGAAATCTTTTTAATATATCACTGCCCCCCCCAAAAAAAACAGAAAAAATCTGCAACAAGTGGACATTACTTGAATTAGCCTAACTATAAATCTGACTACTATACTTAAAAACAATTTTAATTCACCTCTGAAAGAAAATTCAGTGCAAAAATCCAACTCAGTCAATTTTGTACACACTTCTTGCCTATTTGAATTTTTAAATGCACCATATTACTCAATAGTTCCCACACTTATGTTACCATACTACAAAGGTAAAACAGGCAAGATCATATGCAAAACTGAATTAGCTGAACTGCAAGAGTCAACTGTTATTCAGTCTTTGTGTTGCTTAAAATCTGGCCAAAGATTTCCAGAGATTTTTATGGTTTAATGTTTACGTCTTTTCATATCACTCCAAAATGTATGTTCCATATGGAATTTACTGGATTATAGGGAAAGATTCTCTTACACTTAGTTCTAAAAGCAGTTACTTACTGCCAAGAAAAAAAAAAATCCAAGACATTACTATGACAATTGATCCTATCTGAATGGTAAGTTTCCTACTGAAGTCTAGCTATATGATTTTTTGAAGTAAACAACATTCCATAAAGATTGATAGTCTATGTGACTGTCATCATTATTTTTCACAACTGCTGAGCTGAAATACCTTTCTAAGCTTTTTCTGCAGGTAAAAACTAAAAAGAAATTCTAATTTCTTCCATTTTATCGGAATACAGACACCTGAAAACAGTGCCTACGAGGGGAGGCCGAGCGTTCTTTGAGTGTAGCCCCTCCATGACAGGGAGAGATGTGTTTGTGTCACACATCTAAGACTGGAAATTTCTGCACCCTACAACTAGTACTGCACCTATCCTTACTATGCCTGGGTAATGTACAAAGTTCACCAGAATGTTACATAAGATGCTGGGAGACTGTACCCATAGGTATCCAAAATTTATAAGCACATGAACTCAAATTAGCATGCCTCCAACTCCCAGCTAGGAGGAATTAATGTCTGGCATTTTGCTGGTAAATTTACCAGCACAACTGGTAAATTCTGGTATTACAGGAAGGCCTAGAGCATACATGAAGATGCATGGCTTTCTAGCAAAAATCTCTGGGCTTCATTTGGGAAAAAGCAGTAGAATATCTAGGAAAGACAGACAAGAATCATTTGCCTAGATACCTGCAATTACTGTCAACTCAGTACACAGTTTTACCAAAAAAAAAGGTAGACAATTTAACAGTGGCACTAGATCTATCAATTAGGATGAATTCTCTCCCTTCCCCATTGCTATTAGTCACATTTCTAATGAAAACTTGAAAATTAGGCAAACTGACAACATTTCTAAACTTTTGTCCACGTTCAGGCTGACAATGTACCTTTCTTGATCAGACAAATACTGACTATCCATCTCTCTGGATCTGTAATCAACTGGAGTTCTGGAGGCATCATGGTGTCTAGTTGGAGAACGTGATCTTCTCATCTGATGAATTTCATCTAAACTCCTGAAAAGCAGAAGTATGTATGATGATCTTGTTTTCTCATTAATAACAATGTATCACAGTACAAGTTGGTTGAAGGAATTCTTTAATTATAAATTATTAATCCATGATTTCTGTAAGAATGCCACTAAAAATTATGCAATTTATACATGCCACTATTATCCTACAAATATTCTTAAGTAGCTTCATACAAGATTCTGCCACTGACTGAAAAAATTTCCAAAACTTATGTATTAGTTATGGTACACAGATGATGAATCACAGAGAAAATATAAGTAAAAAGAGGTAAGTCTTACAAAGTTATGATTCACCCCATGAGTGCTCTTGAGTGAATAACGAAAGCATATATCAAGTTCAAATACTGCACTAATAAATTAAGATAGAAAAAACAAGTTTTAAAATTGTGAAAAATTCCTGAACAAGAGAAAAGTTAACAATGACACAAACAATTATACAAACACAAAAGCACACTGAGTTTCACTGGAGGCGCCTACCTCTGTAATGGCACATTTGGTAAACGTGAACGGGGCCTGCCCTGATCGTCACCACGGTGAGGAGACACGGAACGTGAACGATGATGAGTTGTTGTTCTCTGCTGCTCTGGCACAGTTAGCGTTGTGGATTTACCTTCTCTAGTACTAGACCTATAACCTACTGGCAAGAGGGTAACAAAAGGCAATTAGAGACTAAAAGTCTGGCTTTAGAAAGAATTCAGGTGACTAGACTTCCAGGAGCACATACCCAAACGCTTACACAACTTTCATCACTCAGCTGTTGTACATCCCGATATATCATGCAGAATAAATCACTAGCATTACCTTTAAATGTCTACATGTACAGAGACTGAAAAAATGAGACATCTTGATGTACTGAAGGATGTGGAGCAGTTTTCTTACTTGGGTAAGAATATTCTGGGTATTTTGTGTATATAAAAAAATATTTGAAAGGAACGTAAACAGTGCGGGTTTACCTCATCTAAAAAATTGTTAGAAGTAGTTACTTACTGCCAAGAAAAAAAAAATCAAACACATGACTATGACAATTGATCTTATCTGAATGGCAAGCTTGGTATTATAGTCTAGCTATATAATTTTTTAAAATAAACAACATCCCATAAAGATTGATAATCTATGTGACTGTCAATGCCTACAACAGCATTGACTCACGCAGGGCTGCTCATATATAAAGCATCTTTCTGCCTCTTATTTCAGTTAGAGATATTCTCCTAATGAACTTGGCCAAAGCCACCTACTTAAAAAAACTAACAGGATTTAGAGCATATTGTACTGAATATTGGGTGTTGCATACTGTGCAGAATATTTTTTTTCCAAATATTGTGATTAAGCAGAAAAATTTCTCACAGTATTTTTAAATAGGATTTAAAAAAACCCCAGTGGAATGTTAGCACATTTTCAATATTTCAACATTGTTGTGACTTTTTCTATGTAGCACACTCTTTGCCTTGTTATACATTTTGACTCCCATCCTAAAACAGACAATGAAGCTTAGTAAGATAACAACTTTCAAAAGGTACCTGTTAATTTTCCAAAAGAACCTAAGGAGATCTGCTCAGACTTCACTTGCTCATTTCTAGATGTTTAAATGAGATTACAAGAATCCCGTGACAGAAAATCCCTTAATGATACAGAAAGTCATCCCTTAAATCATCCTTTAATCACTTTACAAATTCTTGCTTAGTTATCCAAATAATAATTTTTCTTCTCTGAATTTGTCTAGAATTGAAGTTACTGTAATGTGTGATTTTGTTCAGCTAAAAAAAAACCAGCTTCTATCAGAAATCCTCTTTTCATGCAGGAAAAGACTATGATTTATCACCCAATTGTCAACTGGAAAAATTTAATAAATTAAATAAATTGCACTTTTTATGGATCTCACTACAGGGTTTTAACTTTGGGGTTTTTTCATATTTTATATGATTTGTATAATTCTTCTACTTCTTCTCTGGTCCTCTACAAAATTACAAACAGTCCCTCTTTTAAAAGTGTGCCCTGTATGCAGAGTCTGCATGAGGCTTGATCAGGCATTCAATGACATTTCATAACGTCTTTAGCTGCAGGTTTGAACCCTGACCACAAACATCAAAGCAGCATTCACACTTTTTTCCCAAAATGTGTAAGAGTTTACCAATGCACCTTAATGGCCTCTAAAAATTGACAACATGCATGAAAATATCTACTGGGGTTTGTCAACCTTTTAACAAAGTAGGACTTCAATGTTCTGCAGGTTTTGGTATGTTGTGCTGCTGGAGTACCTTACCTGCCAAAAAATTGTTTCAGAGTTCTGTAATAAAACTACAAAGAAACATGAGGATCTCCCTGATCTCAGGACAAGGATTGGGTGCAAATTGTGAAGCAAAAGGGGGACACCCCCAGGACTTAAATGGAGATTCATGACCCAGGATTGCTGCAGAAATTGCCTAGGTCTTTTGTGAGAGGAAGAAAATACATAACAAAAGGTGGATGTGTTCCCTTTTCCTGGATAACTAAATATAAGCTGTATTTGCAAAAATATAATTAATTTTCCAAATAAGCTTGTGTTAGAAAAAATCCTGTCCTCTCTATCAGTAGGAAGAGCAGTTTACATGCATTAAACACTAAAACCAAAGAAATCCGAAACATCTTTTCAGTCTTTAAGCAATTCTACTAAAACACATACAACTTAAGTTTAGAAAATTAAATATAGATTTAATTTAAAATATATTTCTAGTCTCCCTAAAAAACTGCACATAGGATTCTCCTGTAGAAGTTTAGTATAGAAAGATGATTTTGTTATATACTTTGCACAGCCAAGCTATCTCAGGAACAACACCTGAAATTTATGCAGTGTGTGCACACAAAGCTCACAGAACAGAGACAGTAATTCATACTTATCCCAAGTATTAATTCAACAATTGTCAAACTGGTCACGTCACACCCATACCTTCAGTGACCATGACAGTGACAGCAACAGTAACATTTCCTCATATCCTCAAATACAAAGGCTCTGTGCTCTTCAGGGTGAGCAGAGAAAAATTTTGCATGGACCAGCATGATAGCAGCAACCAAGCTGATGGTAATTTATGCAGAAGTTTCTCCGCTGCTCATGGGAAACTGTCAGGTGTGACAGGAAATGAATGCAGGATGGATGATGAAAATGGATCTAGCAAATGTTTGATACCAGAATTATATTATTTTTTCTTAAAGACAATACAGACAAGGAAAAGATATTGTGTATTGATATATACAAGGATATACACAAGGAAAAGAAAAGTGTATTGATGTTACGCTGCTGCTACAGGAGGAAGGCAAATACAGTTATACAGGTTACATGTGACAGAAAAATTAACCGCACTGAAGAGTTATCCACAGAATAAACAATGTAAACAATGTATCCCCAGTGGTTAAAAATACCACTGGGGATATTGCCAACTGAATGTCAGCACTTTTTTCGTTTTGTTTTTAATTAAGGAAGTTATTGAAGGCTTGGTTAAATAGATTGGTCTGAAAACATGTTCAGATGTTATAAAAACTTTCACTGACTCTTATGGAGTACTGGGCTGGCCAGTACAATACAGATACAGAGTGACTGGTGTAAGAACAGCTCAGGATCACAAACTTACTTAAGAGACTTGAGCATCTCTCATATATGCAGAGGTTGAGAGACTTTAAAGAATATTTTCTTCGTGTAAACGGATGCCAGCATACCACAAAAACCCTGTCAAAATCATTTTTGTTAAACCCGAGCTTCAAATTGCTTTCAGCTGTTGATATAAACTTTTATGAACATATCTAAGAGCTGATTAAAAAAGGAGATGTATATCACTGCCAGGTACTACTAATGAATGAGGATGATCTAATTACATGAAAGATAAGATTCATTAATTAGTGATATAAAAAGGGAAAAATAATTTTCTTAAAATATTTTGGAATTTGTTAAAATACTACTATTTTTGATGTAACAATCTTCCGCTGACAAGAAGTTATTCTTTGCAGCTGCTGAAACTTCTAGGAAAATAGTTTTTTTTGTAATTACTAAATTCTAATACTACATTTGCCTTAGCAATTGGTAAAACATTTGAAATTATAGTTTTATGAATTTTCAAGGTTAGTTAAATTAGCAAAACTATTTTCCTTCATGTTTTTAGGTTGCATAGAGATGAAGTGAAATTTTGTGGTTTTACATTTTGTAGTCATGTGTTTATTTATTAGAAAATGAGCAATAACCTTTTTGAAAATCTTGAGATATTAAGGGGGCTAAGTAACTTCCTTTTTTTCTCTCAATACTTCGGAAAAAAAGAAAATTAATAACTTTCAGGAAGATTCTGCCTGACTAACCTGATCTTCTATCACAAGATCATTCTCTTACTGGATGGGGGAAAGGCTGGGGATGTTGTTTACTTTAAATTATTAAAATCTTGTACACTGTTTCCCCAGGATTCTCCTGGAGAAGCTGGCAGCCTATAGCTTGGACAAGTTTTAAAAGGGAAATATATTCTTATGTGTCAAGTGTTGTAAACTCAATTTTGATGTTCTTACTTCCCTTGAGAAGGATATCTTAAAACTAGACTAATCTGGTTGAAGCCAATAAAGGCTATTCCAAAATGGGGCATCACCATATTACATTAAAGGGAAATATGGATATTTTCTCTTCCTTCCCACATGCATGCTGTGCAAGAGAATGTGTGAGAAATCTGAAGCAGACAAGAGCTGGGCTGCACTCTGGTGAGAACCATGGTGCTGAAGGGCAGGAGGAGGGCAGGGGTAAAGACCCTGCAGAACAGCAAGCAACATGCATGGAGCTTAGTTTTAACAAAGGAGTTTATTTCATGGAGAAGACACTGCAGTACTCATTCTGTGCAAACGAAGGGAGCAGTCCAAAGGCCTAACAATTTAGCAATGAGGCAAGTTAAGAAGGTTGGACAGGAGGGCAGAAATGAATATATATGAACTTGATCTCCAGCCACATTTGTGAATCTGTGCCTAAGGTTCTCAAACAATTTGACAGACATTGGGACTGGAAACCTTTTCAGGTCTTTTTGCCAAACACATTTTCATATATTGTCTAGGCTTTCATAGATTTGTGGCAGATGAATTTTCTTTGTCCCTGTGCCTAAAGTCTAAATCCCTTTAAAGTATATCCAACAAATCCCACACACTTATATGCAAATCCACTTCCCATAGGAATCACGAACAGATGAACTCCACTTAGAAATGCCAAACAAATGTGCCAATTAAATTCAAAATGGACAAACTTGTGCTTGGTCAAGTGAGCTAGCAGAATGTTTCTGATTGGGTGGACTTCAGAAGGAGCTTCCTCACTATGCCCTTCAGTTTTTTACTTGGAGACTCTCAGATCATTGAAAATCCAGTCGTAAAAATTAAATCCTGCTATTTTCTACAGTGACCGCTGAGAAAGTTTGGATCTGTGCATTCCTCAAAGGCACACCTGAGCATGAAATCCAAAGAAATGCCCATAAGACTCAGTTACTCAAATGCTGGCCCAAACAAATTCCAATATATGCAGCTGGACCATTTTGAATGCTTCCTGACAGGTTAAAAATTATTTATTTCAACTGGATGCATGAAAGGACTGGCAGAGGAAAAAAAGCCCCAGTTCTTAATAGAATTTACTGAAACTTTAAACATAAGTCTACAAAGACATACCAGTATCTACATTTTCAACTACAAAAAAAAAAAAAAACACCTTGAAACAAAAAAAAACATAAACAAAAAACAAAACAAAACAAAAACACAAAACACAAAAAACAAAAAACAAAAAAAAAACGCCAGGAAAAATATTTAGAGCCTTTTGTTTATATTTAATTTTAAATGCTCACTCTCTCCGCTGATGTAAAAATATCAAATATAATAATTAGGCATACATAAATTAATTTCTCTCTTAGGGACTGAGGTGCAAAGTATATAAAATAAGAAAAGAACCCAATCAACATCAAAGGAAGGAGAATTTGTCTCAGCTAAAATCAAGATGATACAGCATTAATAAGATATGTGATTTATTTGCACAGTTATATTGTGGATAAATAAACTGTGAGATTATTTTAAACATTTTAAACACACCACGATTGAATCCAGTAGTTTTCATCAGGAAGATCCACAGAAAAACTGATTTAGTGCTGGCAATGACATAGTGACTCTTCAGTTAGCTTGGAACAATTGGGAAACATATTTATCTGACTTGTGGCAACAGTGAATGAGAACTAGAAGAATGTGGTGTCCAAGATAATCCTCAAGATTTTCAGTAAGTAGGAATGCTGAACTAAAAGCCAAACCATGACAGTCTCTACAAGTAAATATTTATGAACATTTAGGGTAATGATAGTTCATGAAAGCTTATGAAAACTATAAAAAATATAGCCATGCTGCATGCATCTTAATCTATAGCCATGCATTATCAATAAAGTCCACAGAAGACTGCATTAAATCTAAGTTTCAAGCAAAAAGCAAAATAATTTTAAAAATGCTTTCAATAAAAACTGAAATCTTAAATGTTTTAAAACGTAGGAGTCTTTTACATTTAATTTGCATTTTAAATAATGCTTGGAGCATTACACAGTAAGAAATTAACCAATTTCAACAAACCAGTGGGCCTCATATGAAGAGTGATATGCAAAATAAATATAAATGAATGAATAGTAGAATCCTTTAAATTACCAGGTATGGGACAGGTACTATGGAATAATCAGGAAAACTGTTTTTTCCACAATGCACTCTCCAAAATCAGTATCCTCAATATTCCAAAATATTATAAAGAAAAAAAATCCAAACAAGCAAAAAAGAAGAAGAAAAGAAAGCAGGACCATGCTGTTCATCCACGCACCTGGAGGAACAACTCCAATACCATCATCAACATCAAAATCTGAGATGTCACTATCACTGATTGGCCGAGATCCTGCACAACAGTAAGGTAAACAAATACCTGAACATCTGGTCATGTTATAATATGCAAAAATATGTTCATTCAACATAATAATGAAACCAAAAAGATGATTTTAAGTCAAAACAATAGAGAAGGAGAACTCAACTGCAGTGACTAAGTGATGCTTCAGAAGATAGCTGAGCCAATTTAACATCTTACAGCTGCTGAAGCCTCCTTTCCCTTTCTCTTCCCCTCAAGTCCTCAGTAATCCTCCACTAGGATAGATTACCTCTGTAAGCCTCCAAAAGCAAAAGTCAAGTAAAGGGAAAAAAACCACGTTTGTGCTACTTCAGTGAATATGCTGATTCAGCTTGCTGAACAGGAAAGGAGATGAGGCAACATATGGTGAGAGAGAGGAAGAGGAAACAGCACTGCCAGCTTTTAGAAGAGCTCAAATATCTCATAAAAACAAACCTTTCATTTGCTCTCTCTATACATATCCTGAGTTTGGGCATCTATGCAGTTTGGGCATCTAAGCAGTAACACATATTTATAGTTCATTCCTGAATGTACACCAATTTCCTATTCATAGTCTGGAGTGAATGACTTCCATGTTTTAGAAAAATCAGAAAAATAGCTTGGAAATGCATTTAAAAATAATCCCCTACATCTTTCATATTTCTAAGTAAATGTTAGTTTAAATGAACAGAGAAACTACAATATCTCCTTTGAAATATCTCCTTTTAACGTGCCTCATACAAACCTGAAATCAGACTCATGAAAATAACCGTACCTCCAAAATACATTAATAAAATTTGTCTTTTCTGCAAAAGTACACTTTAATGAGCATATTGGAGGTTGAGACTAACTTTACGATGAAAAGTGTTTTTAAGCCTTGTAAGTCTTTAAGGACTTTTTTAAAAAAATAAAATGCTTTTAATTTTTTTAAATTATCCAATAATTATAAACTTCATTTTTCTATTTAAAAAGAAGTTTATGGAAAAAAACAACTTTGAACAATTTTTTTTGCTAATGAAAGCCAAATCAATCCCAGCAGGTTTCACACACTTGAAAAAGTTATACATCACAGTTGTAAGGCTGACATGTCATAATGTCATAATTTAAATTGTGTTCCTGCCACACATTTTCATTACTTTTAAAGACTATGAAATAGTATCTTTTTTATTTTATTTGGAATTTAAGTACCATTAGACCATATCCAGCACTTCTAATTTAAAATTTAAGAGACCTTAATGGAATTTGGACCTACTTTGTAATTTTTTGCTAGTGCTCTCTCCACCATGAACATGTCTTCTTGGCATGAATGGTGATGGCTGAGGCAGAGGTAGTGAAGATTCATCATGTGTCTGTAGCTTATACCAATGTGGTTCATCATCTAAAAGTGCTGTCTCCAGCTCTATAAGAATCTAGCAGAAAAATCATCAAGTTTCAATTTTACTTTGAAGGCACAGAGAGAAACACAAATATACATATGTAAATGTACTCAAAACCAAACAATGAACTCAGAATAAATGTGATTGCATGCATCACCTCTCCAAGAAATTCACTCTCTTCTTCTTGTACTCTTGGCTGATCCCATACTGTGATTTCAAGCATTCGTTCTCTAAAATCTCTACGATGTACATGTGAGTAGAGAAAAGTTTGATTCCATTTTGGCTCTAGACTTTTCTTTACTGTTTTGGTCCTTCTTTTACTTTTATCACTGAAACATAAATATTTTCCGTAAATTATTCATAGTGATAAATCAGAAAATACCATGTACTCATCAGGATGTAACTGTTTTCATTTTCTCTTAGGCAATATTGCCTAAATTAAGAAAGTATTTTCTGCACAGTAGATCACATTCTTAAAAAAGACTACAAAGTTAAATTGATACTGACTTGTATGATTCAAGTGTAATTTTTTGTTATAAATAATCTAGCTATAAAAAATTATAAAAAGGAATTCTTCATAAGCATTCATTAAAAGCTGATTCAATACATGGTAAATTAAAACATAATTTTATGAACTGGAATACTATTACCTTCTGTCTGGAAGAAAATACATTTTTACATAGGGATTTCTGGGGCGCCCATCTACTCTTGGTGGCAAATCTGTTGCCTGTAGAACATTTACTATTAACTGATGTCCCACTTTGTCATACCAGAGTTTAACCTACAGGAATCAAGTTACCAGAAAACATTACTGAAAATGGAGAAGAAACAAAATTTTCAGATTGCATCAAAAATAACCACAATGTAAAAGTAACTGTTGGTTTTTTTTCCCCAGAGACAATGAGACATACTGCATTTAAGATCCCTTAATATTTAATTAGGTTAGATGGAAAAGATGATGGTATATACCAAGACTTTTATACTTATCACAGCAGAATAAAATTATGGGCCTGATTATACTCCCATTGTTTATTGTACTCATTGCATAATCTTAGAACTGTACGTGCACCTAAGCCAGCAGGTCTTAGCTCTGCACCTTTAAAGCTACATTAAAGAGAAAGCTCTGCCTGCATCTAATCTCAAGGTATAGCTGAAATCTATCTACTCAGATTTGTGACCTTTTCAATAGCGTATATGGAAACAATAATATAGAGCTACATAATTTCTTAAGAGAATCATAATTTTAGGAAATTTTTAAGCCTGCTATATACTCCTGAATTAATACGATCAATATAAAAAAACTAAAAATGTGGAAAACAAAGTTTAAGTACTGACAGTATATTTGATAAGCAGGACTTCCATTAGTATTACAAGAAAGTTCCAAGATGTATCAAAATTAAAATGCATTACTGAATAGAGTAATGCTTAACAAATATACAGGCCTTTAAATGCTCCCACAAAGAAAACAGTGATACTATTCTTGATTCTGCAGAGTACTGGACATGTACAGCAAAGTCACTATTTTCAGTGCAGAAGCTAAAAAATGACAAGTTTCAAGGCAGTTTTATGGGCTCTTCTCAATGTAAATTCCTGCACTCTTTGGTGTATTAAGACAACAATTTCTTATGTCTGCTATGATTTGAGTCAGGTCTTGTTAGAGCATCCAGAGGCTATCAAAAAAACTTTTGAAAAATGTTATTTTTACCAACACTGAAAATTTCTCTTGGCCTCCCAACAGGCCTTGGGAATGTGCAGGGCTGAAGGACCAGCACTTCACAGATTTCCATTAAAAACCCAAGAAAAACAAAAATGCTCACAGAAAGCTGCCCTGGTAGGACCTGAGGTGCATCCCGTAGGGCTCCAGGGCTAGTCGGAGATATAACAGAAATAGAAGGCCTTTCCATCTTCTGAGATTCAAAAGAACTTGAACCTAAAACCACATGAGAAACACATGAAATTGCCATCCAAAATTTGGATAACTTATGAACTGCTTTTTCTTTGAATTGTATAAAATTGATGTAGAAAATAGAGTAAAAAGACTGGTTTTTTACCCCTACATCCCAGATTAAACCTGTCATTTTTTGGTTTATTAAAAAAACCCATATAGTAAGAGTGTTCCTCATACATCTTTGATAAACCATAGCAAGCGTTTTAAATAAAATACTGCTCTCTGACTGAATTACACATCTCCCTCCCCAGACAAAGAACACTGATTCTATGATCCTAAGTCTTTGATGAATACACCACATCTGTTGTATGGATTATACTCTCAGTAGCCTCTGGAATTTTAATAGGAAGACATGAAGGACATGAATCTGGCATGGAGGATATTTCAGCAACTGCTGGACATCCTCAGTTCTCCCCCAGTGAAACAGAACCCTCACTAATTATATGAATTTGTGACAAGTGATCACACCTTCCCTGTCCCAGGGAAGGATTCTAGCTGCATCTCAGGAAAGGCTCAGATGGGAAAAGACTGGGAGCCATGGCCCTCAAATACTCTGGCTGAAAACATTCAAATGGAATAGTTAAAAAGAACACCAGTCTTTTGAAGTATGAACAAAAAATTCATGCAACCAAGGTTTTCTTGTTAAAAAAAAAGAGAAACAAGAACTCTAGACTTTGCTTGGCACAGGAGGTGAAATACTGACACCATTTGTACCTTTGGCAGACCCTTATACCTGTTCTCTCTTATGTTAGGGGAAGTAAATTATTATTTTGGTAGTAACAATGGAAGATACAGAATGAAAAAATATAATTCGCTAGCATTTGAAATCTGTGTATGTTTAATAAAATCCATATTGCTTCAAATTTAACACACAAGGCCAAAACCCATTGAATTTTGTCATGCAAAAACCTCAGAGCCAATGCAATTTCCACAAATCATCTTTCAGAAATTTGATTGCTGAAATAGTTTTTTGCTGGGTACAAGATTTTGCTTAAAGAAAAGAACAAGGTGTGTACTCACTAGACTCTAATGGGGGGTGGGAAGTCTCGGGAATCCGTGGAATATCACTAAAATGTGAACACATAGCAATTAGAAACAACAGAGACAACCTTTGGCTGTGACAAATACATTGCTGGGACAGTGTTCTAATAACATGGATTTGTTTCTAACAGGTTACAAGGCAAGAAAGAGGAAATATTTGAAGACATACTTTCTACTATCATTCATGAAAATCTAACAAAAACCACGTTCAGGTTAAGGAGCTAGCAGATATAACAATAAGGAACTAGAGATATAACATTGTTAACATTGTGGATGGATTACAAGATGCTTTTACAACTGCAACAATAAAGAAAGAGAAATTTTAGGAAGAGAAAAAATAAACAGTACATAGATACACTTCCTTTGTCAAAAGGAAGTACAGCTATGGTTGTTCAACTATTTTTTGGAGGAACAAAAATCAAAAAGACAAATATTAACTCACTAGTAATTTTTATATAAACATCTCAAGGAGTTCAGAGAATGAAACTGATGAAAATGTCTTACAATAATAAAAAAGGAAAACAAAGATTATTAGCAATGTTAAACAAACAAGTGAATAATGCATTTCTCCAAAGGATAAAAGAACATGAAATTGTATTACAACTGGGTATGGACATTTTTCAACACATACATATCCAACACATACGCAGATATAAGTAAGATAAACTGATGAAGTCCACACACATCTATCAGGGTTTTCTCATCAATATATTTATTCTTCCACTAAAACCTGGATGATGCTAGTTCCTGGCTCTTTCTATTCTCAGCTGTCATTGAAAATACATTACAAGAGCAAAAATCATCTAGTATTGCACATATCTTAAAAAAGCAGCAGAGCAGGGAAATGGAAACAAAACTCTTCAGTGAATTATTTGAATGCATTTTCATCCACACAGACTAATCCAAAAGTAGAACTGCAATAACATTTCTGAAGAACATTTACAAGATTTTAAGTCTATAGTTGAGAATTTTAAAGGTATTCAGGCAGTCTGCTCAGTGAAACACAGAAATCTTTCTGACTTGGAACTCAATAAAACTAAGACTCCTAGGTTTATAAAAGTCACTTATGAAAAAAAACCAGACAATGGTATCAGAAAAAGAATGCAACAGTTCCCAATCACTGAGCCTTAAAGTCCCTTTTCATGTCCTGCAATTTAAACTTGTGGTGCCTGTGGTTTAAAATAGACTACTTCAGCTCTGCGTTAATGTCTCAAATCAGCTTAAACCTCAAATCATTGAACAAGAATGTGCTTCTCCTTGTCTTGACTTCATGAGTCAGGAATAACGTGGTTTTCTCAAACTCAGGGAATTATAGCTGAATTAGTCATTCTTGACATGGCACAGTACTACTCTACAAACATATGAACAGATTAACAGCCTGTTGCACAGCTGGGCTGCTGTGCACTCTTCTTCCTCTTAACATTTTCTCTTTTTCAGGTCAGACTTTCCATGGCATCTCTCATCAGTCTCAAGTATTTACTTATCATAATCAAACAAATTTTTCTGTTCAATACAATTTAAAGTTTGCAATATTTTCTTGTGCTAGAATATGAACACTCTCATCTGCAGTATAGCACTGTTTGTAATAACATCACTTTTAGGATGTCTAAACAAAGGTTCACATGTGCAAGGACTGCTTCAACATGGAAAGGGCCAGCCACAGTGTCAAGTTCTATAGTCCTGGTGTGATTAAAGACACTAAAACTCATTCTGTTTGGATTTTTTTTTCTTGTATTGTCAACAATACTTGAGGAAAAAAAGGCTAAAAATAAACTTCAAATATTAATTACACATTAATAACAACTTAATAACTGATTCATATTTCTGCTAAGGCACTGTCATACTATTACAACCAATACAGAAAAATTTAATAATAAATCAACATGAGAAATAGATCAACACAGGTTAAAAGAGGATTAAATGTTGGCATTTTAATTAGAGAATGAATATTCTAAAAGAAAACTATAATCTAAAACTTTTCATGTAAGAAAACTAGTCTTATCTAGCCTGCTTTTAATTTTGCACTGCAGAAAATATTCTGATAAATGATTTACAAAAAAGCTCATTAGAAGAAATAGTAGCTCATTACTTAAAATATTCAAAACTGGACCAGTCAAAGAAAAAACAATGCGAAAAGTTGCACAGTTGCTTATCTAATACAGTAACAAAATTTTACTCCCCTTTTGGAGCAATACAAACTTGAGAAAAGTAGTAGACAGCTCTTTATCTCCGGTAAAGAGGTGCCAACTTCAAACCTTGTCTTTCTATCCCTACCTTGTGTGGTCTTACATGATATTACATATTATTATCTGACGTCTGATTCTTTCATGCCTCAATGACTATGTAAATTAAACAAAACTGTACCTTAGTTTGAAACTATTCTGTGCAGATATATGGTTTGTGAGAATCACTATTTTGCACAGGAACAGCTATAATTTCTCTGAAGGATATAGTCAAGAGGTTGCTCACTGAAGAAGAACCAAGTTCAAGCATGGTTGTAACCCACACTTTTTAGGCTGTTTTAGGAACAGATGTATCATATTCTACACCCCAGAGAGCTTCTAAAGAGTTTCTGAGTACCTCTCCCCAGTGCTCATCCTGCTATTCCCAAAACCATTCCCTGCCATCAGAACCTGTAGATCAATCTGCAGTTTGCACTAATTGAGCAGCTCTGGAGTTCAGCACTGCCTGGATCGTGATGGAGCTTCAAACTCCTTGCCAGGACCTAGACCACAGTAACCAACCCTGCACAGAGGAACTTAATCATATCACAGAAACAACAGTTTTGGCAGCATTATCTGTGGAAATCTAAGCAAAGATAGCTAGCACCTGACAAAGAAAACAGAGAAAAATGAAAAGACATTTGTTTTACCTGCACTATCCCATAGAGCACACAAGAGACGGCGAGTTTAGTTACCATGCCACGCTTCTTCTCCGAAAAGTATACTGCCAGAGGATTTTCTGTGCTGTCCTATGTTAACCACCTCTCACATTGTATGCATATTCATAGGTAATTCTTCCCCTCATATTGAGATAGTCAACCCATTAATTCTACTTTTTATAGGTTTCTTATCTACCTTGTGTTGCAGCCATTAGAATTAGTGTCAATTAGTTTCTATGGAGTTTCCACGGTACAATTGCGGTTATACTGTTTATTGTTGTTATGCCTTTAGCTGCTAATAGTGTTATGTGCTTCACATTTTTCTCTAATAAACATCCTACAATTATCCATTACTTAAAATTACATTTGCTGGCAGACAGAGAAATCCAAATTTACAAGACTGAACAAATTGTTTAGACCGCAGTTTTGTAACTGGCAGTCTAATTTGTGGGCAGTCTAATTTGTGGACTTACAGTCCTTCCATTATTCACTTAAGGCAAACTGTGTCCTATTTGGGCTTTTTAGACCTAATATGCTAGGCATTTTTAAATCAAGACCATTAAAAGTGCTGGTACATTATTTGCATTATTAATACCGAGAGATGAAAACACTTAAATTATGTAGATGAAATACCATTTTCAGGCCTTTCGGGAACTTATTCCCTCACAGGAATTTTTTGCTGTAATGGATTATCACTTAATGCTGTATCAAGCAACTTCAATTTTGCTTAGTCAGCACATAAAAGTACCCACCAAACTTTGGCATACTAGATGTGTTGGATGGGATAAAATAAAAATCCCTGTCATGAATTTGAAACCATCACACACTTTGGAAAACAAGTCAAAATGGAGCTAGGGACAAAATCAAAGCAATCTGTTAATCAAGCAAATAATTTTCCATTATGCAAGACAATTTACATAGATCCTAATTATCAAGTAAAAGGAAAAAAAGGGAAAAAAGAAAATCCTGCACAGCATTCTCCTTCTTTTAATAACTACAATTGGGATTTTCTCTGTTCTACAATGTCTGAAATTTTTGGTTATTTTTAGATGACAGACAGGTAAATCCCAATCTGACATAAAATAACTGGACTTTGACCCATTACTGCAGGATAGAAAGGATCTGTCTTTAAATTTTAAAATTCTGTGCTCTAGGGATATTTATTTGTTCTCATAAAGACCCCAAAACCCAACCTGACCCTCAAGCAAAAGAAAAAAAATAATAAATCTATAGAGACATAACTCTAGAAGAAAAATGTTGTTCTATTATGCAAAAAAACTCTATGCCAAGATTCCATTTATCTCAAAAAAAGCAAAATCTAATGTGATCTATTTCTGACTACATATTGAAAAAATATGTATGGGTCATCCAAAGAAAAACTTTACATTTTATTGGTACTATTTCTGGGTGCACTATTCTAACACAAAATCCACTGTTCAGATTCAGGAACATTCTTTAATTTTGAACAAACTTCAAAAAAGGGTATTTTTCCACTTTTTCTTTAGGAATGTGGCACTGGAATGCAGTCACCTTGTACTTAATTTCTCTAAACTAACAGATTTATCAAATTTGTAAACTAAAAGAATATATTTGGTTTATTACCAAAGTTATCTTAGAAGTTTAAGAGCACACATCTGCAATATAGACAGAAATAAATATGTTTAAAGTTCATTGTTTAAAATGCTAATCTAGATCTCTCCTTTTACATTAGTTCTACAGTTGTACAAATCCATTTCCATGTTTTCTTTAATTGAAATGTGGAATTCAAGTCATGTCCAGTATCAACATATTTCTTTTTTTGCTGATTTAAATATAAAAACTAGGTTTCCTAAAATCTCCTTAAGGCATTTTTATTTTTAATAACAAAGCTGTACAAATGAATTTGCAGCTTTCTTTCAAGAATATCTCCTAATTTATCTCAAAAAATGTAAAATAAAGCTTCTACTTCCCCAGAGTCTTCAGCTGGATGGTAATTATAGAATTTAACAGCCACTATTATTGCATCAGACTTTCATTTTCCATTAGAAGGTCAAATTGATAGGTGGAATTACCTATTAATGTCAATTTCTAAGTACTTTTATAGAGATTGCCATTAAAAAGACAAAATTTATTTGCAAAATATAGCTACACTCACATGGCACAGATAGAATCAGTAATCAAAACATAAAAGGATATTTTAGTCAGAAAGAAAATAAATAGATTTTTGTTTCCAAAACTGAAAAAGTATCATATTTGAGACAAGCAAAAATTATAATTAAGATGAAAATAGCAAATCCAAAACAATCACTTCTTATTGTAAATCACATGACTCTATTTTGCAGGTAAATGTGAATTTACAATAAATTATTCATATTCAATTTTGTAAGACCTAGCTCAAAACATTCCTGATATCACTAAAACTACTATCACTAATGCAGGGCCAATCCCCCCATTTTTATCAATTTGAACAGATATTATTTTCCTTCTAAGGTGCATTCGGGAAACTGAGAATAGAAGAATTGTTGTCACAGAACTCCAAACCGGGGTTCATAATAAAAAAATAGAAATTATAAACATAACACATTTATGCTAATTTTTGATTGAATCTTTTGCTTCCATGTTTGACTTCAACAACAAACGTTCAAGGGTAAATACAGTATTTTCAATTAGGAGTTTTCTGTTTCCTTTTTTAGCTTTTTAAAGAAGGTCTGTTTAAAATCCTACTAGTATTGGTTTAGTAGAATCCTGCAATGTTTCCCTCCACTCATGAAGACCTTTTTGAATTATTCTTATCCAGTAGGCTGAAAGCCTGAAAATCAAAAGTTTGGCATGCACAGGTGTACCTAATCCACCAATTTTCCTTTGCCACTTGGCAAAAGTCTTTATAGCACTTTGCCCACACAGAAGACAATATTTATGTTTATATGTCACTGCAAAGGCACAAGACTGTAAATGGTAGTGAAGAAAACAGGCTATACAGAATGTCAATAACAGAAGGAGAATTATATTCCATTACTAAGCAATAAAAATAATTAACTCACAAATAATTCCTTTAAGATTCCTATTAACAGAACTAATAACCATGCTAAAGAAGTAAGTCTTTAGCCTTACCCAATAGGCCTTGAAACAATGATTTCAACTTGAGGTTCTGATTTTGATTCTAAAATAATGTTGTAAACTTCTTCATTTGTAGCTCCAGGCAAGGGTTTACCATTCCATTCTAGAACTTCATCCCCTTGAATTTAAAGAGAAGTTTATCTCACTTTCATATTCTTTTACAAAGAATGAAATCTATATTTTCAAGTAACATTAAAATAATTTAAAATCCTGAAAGAGCTGAACTAAAACCTTCAGACATTTTCCTGCCAAGGTGCTTTTTAGCTGGTTGGCTTCCAATGCTTACTCTTGGACAAGGATGTTCTGTTCCTCATGCAAGACTTAATATTTGCAATTATTAAAATTTATGAAGTTTAAGTTTGTACAATTATTCAAAGTTTTATCAACTATCCGAATTTTGGATGTTTTTTATAAGGACAAATGGTTTTTCTAACTGCAAGGACTCATCCATGCCCTTTTTTGTGTGCTCTGGTCCCATGCAATAGGATGAACAGACTTTCACTCATTGGAAATGTGCAAAACAATATTTTTTTCCGGGAAATAATTTTGCCTCTAAAACTAGTTTTAGAAATTAACAAAAGCTTCCATTAAAAAAAAAAAAAAAACCAAAAAACAAAACCTAGACCAGAAATAGAAAATTAGGATTTCAGCCCAAATGGTTTAAGATTAGTGGAGACAAATTTATTTCCTATAATTATAATCTGCATTTAAAAACTATAAACAACTGCTGATTTGGTAAGAAAGAAAAAACTAAAAATGCCCAAAAAGTAGAATATTGTTAGAGATTCATCATCCTTTCTAGTTCTTTATTACTCTCTGCTTCACATAATTATCCTGAAGCCATAGACACTGGCATTGGAGCTTTTGGGTTCTTAAGACACTACATAGGTACTTTGGTTTGCTATGACAACATTTGGAAAGTAGTTGCTTAGAGCTATAGTAAAAATACAAACCATTAAGAAGTGACTATGAAAACCAAATGCTGTGCATAATTCTCACTTCATTCAGTGCTTGAAAAGTGCCATTAGCACAGCCATTTTTTTGTAAGTGCAATAGATACATCTAATAGAAATGAAATATTTTAGGACCAGTTTTTTTGCTTCTTTTCCATTTTCGTTTGTAACAGTTAACACTGCAAATAACACCAATAAAATCCACTGTGTATGCAGTGTGTCATCCTTCAGTGATCTGAATTTTGTTTGTCACAATCAGTTAAACACAAAAATGTTTGCATTGCTTCTGTGGAGTGTAATAAGCAGCTCCTGAGCTAGCAAACAAAAATTTACCAGTGTCACTCAGTCCTCTTACCAGCATTCCTCAGGAGTGTCTTTTTTTTTGCTCATACATCCAAGCAATTGGTATTCATAACAAATTAAAAATGTTAACAAATGAAAAGGCAACCATTTCTAACCAAGGCATTTCATAATAATGTTACAGTATTGTTCTGTATTTTAAAAAAATTACCAAAACACATGACAAATGTTTGTATAAATTAAAGGTTGCATGCAATAGGCCACTACTAAAAGACAGTATATTTTATATATGCAACTGATTGATTTACCTGCTCTAAGATGCCCCACCACATCAGCCAAGCTACCTTTCTTCACTTTGGTAATGAAGGCACCGAGTCGTCCTAATTCTGTCATTTTTCCTCCAACAACCTAGTTAATCACAAATTTGTGAGTCCCCAAGCCACCAACCAGATGTCACATAAAGCACAAATATTTAGACGAATCAGTTTTCACACTATTTTTTTAAATTTCACCTGAAATGTTCATAGGCAAACCTATTGTCAATTTGGGTTTTAGAGAGGCTTAAAGACAAAAAAATGTAAAGCTGACACAGGATGAATAAAATTTATATTCCTTTTGCTGTATTTGACTTATCAATCTCATGCAGTTTGCTAAGTACCCACATTTGTTGCAGAAAAAACACTTCTTAATAAATAACCAGCCAAGTGCACATTTTACAAATAATTGTCCATCATGTACTCAAATTTAAATTGCAAGTGCACATCATTTCAAGTGTATGAAATCCCAAAATTGGTACATCAATTGAAAACTTAGCAAATACACTACTATTAAATATGGGCACCAAGTTCACAAGAATGTTGATGATGCTAAAACATAGGTGCTCTCATCCAAGAACATGACAGGACAAACTAGCAGCTTCTAGCTTTTGTAGAACAGAAGAGAAAATGAAACTGAAAAGATCCACTTTTGAAGATAACTACAGGATCCAGAGATCATGAACATCAGAAGAAAACCAAGTGCCCTGAAGAGGACAGATTTTAAATAAAATTCAAAGAAAATGTAGTGTTGCTGATTTGCAAGACAAGTTATCTTTTTAACTACCTTTCTCCAGTCAGCTAAGGGGTTTGGTTGTACTTTTTTCATCAGGAATATCCCAGAAGAGTTTTATAATAAAATGGCACAGCAAAATGTTGGTTTATTAGGTATTAGTTCCCCATGTTGCAATCACAATAACTAGCAGGAGCTTAAATACCAAAAAAGTATCCAGAAGCCCATCTGCCAACAATATTGTCACATGGTAGTGTGTGGAATTTATCAGTGAGGGCCTTAGTTCATGTTATGTACAACTGAAACTCAGAAAAACCAAAGAGAAACTCTACAATCTACAACTCTACAATCTGCGTTTCCTACTTGGCCCAACCTTTTTTCTCACATAGTCAAACAGAATTGTTTGCTGGCAGCACATATGAGCTTTGTGCTATAGACTACTAAACATTTAGTAAAGCTGTTTTCATCTTTTGTATTACCATGCCAGACTATCACACTTCAAGGTGGGAATATTTCAGATCTTGCATTCTTTCTGTTGTTCTCAGTGGAGAGGGAAGGACACCCAAATTAAATTCTATCAGTCCTCATTGTTACTTCATAGATTTAAAAATATACAGAGAGAGAAAAATGCTTGAACTGGTACTAGCTTCAGAAAAAATCCTCTTTTTTAAGTCTTCTGACAATTTAGGCACATGAACCTAAAGGTCTGCTAAAAATGTAAATTAGGGATTTAAATCAATTGGACAGTGTTGCCAATATCTCAATTTTGGGGTGCTAGATTAACTGGAATTAAATTTAATATAAAATTTTATATATAACATTTAATATAACATTTTAATATAACAAAAGGATTTTGTGTAAATATTTCGATTCTTTCTACAAAATTTCTGTTTTCAAATGGTTGTGTGACTTTTAAACACTGACCTTGTACACATTTGCATCCAGATTACATTTATGTATGTTGATTATAAAATTAATTACTTGACTAAATTGCAAAGAGCAGAGCTAGAAAATGCAGGACTCCATTAATGCATGGTCATGTGTAGTTATTTATCTTACAGACAGGAAGCTGAATAAACATACCCTTTTCAATCAAAACGGTTCAGCCCCTTTGTCATGGACAACTGAAGACTGTATAGAAGAAGTAAATGTATTTATATTCATAATTTATCTGTATAACTTTCAAAATTTAGGAAAAGTGAAATACATTTTTTGTCAAAAGACTGTATGATTTGAGAGTCCTCTGATTTAATAAGTTTCACGTGTATGTCGGAGGTCAGCGGAACTTCTTTTCATTTAGCACATAAATGATGTCATACTTACTTTTAGCCCCAGTAATGCACCTGATTCTTTAGGCATGGTTGTTCTCTTGTTAAGAATAACACGCCCAATTAAGCGATCTCCCTCTTTGGAAGGCTGCCACGTTACGGGATGCTGTTAAAAAACAAGCAATTAAATTGAATTGGAATTTTAAAAGTGTGAACATCCTCCAGTATTTAGATGCACATGTAAAAACCAATAAAATTACTGCATCATCATGTCACAGTAGACACAAACATCCTTCAGGTGTGTTGCATAATGCACCTGAGTTTTCTATGAGTATATCTGTTGGACTCTGGCTACATTAAACATTTATGCCTCTTGTAAGAAAATGTCTGCATTAAGTCTACAGATAGAACTATAATTCAGTTCAAACTTCAATACAATTAAACATTTTAAACACATCTTAGATAATAAAATTAAATATTTCTTTTTGAATTACATGGCTCTGAAAAGCGCATGCAGAAATTCTGTTCTTTAGAATAACACATGCTATGCAGGTCTACCTAATGAGAGTTCATTACATAATAAAATCAAAATTATGCTTTCCAACTCCAAGTCTTTAAAAAAATCACTAATCCTTCCCAGAGCAGCATCACATTCACAACTGATTTTTTTTGGGGTTCATAGTAAAATTAAGTGCCATTTCTATTAAAGGGATTAAAGTCAGGTTAAAATTCAGGCAATTTTACAAATATGCATTTCAATAAAACTTTCTTTCTGATTTCAATTTCCTTGGTAGTCTAAAACAAATTTTCACATTATTTGTGTAGAATATTTTTTACAGTCAAATATCTATGCTGAACTGAAATAATTAGCAAACATTTTAACTTATTCTTTATGAATCCCTATTTTTCTATTTCTTACCGAACTAATAGGGGACGTCTCCCTGCTGTGCCACGTGGCAGGATCCAGCCAGTAATAATCCAAGTCACCTGGAAGAATATGAATAGAAAGAAATGTGTAATCTCTCAAACAGAGAAAGATGTATGAATGATTACTTCTGCATGCATGAATTTTAAAGTGCAATTGTTTGATGAAGCAAATACAAAACTTTTATTATGATTCAAATCAATATATCAATTTGTAAACAATATAGTGTATTAATATAAAATAATGCATTTATTTGGACCTTTTCTTTTTCATGAATTGCACTTTAGAATTGGTTGTGCACACTGTCTATTTTTACCTTTGCTCAGTCCAAGAATGGACCCCAAAGCATCACATTCACAGCCCTCCTCCTCCCCACCATCTCCATAATAAACACACAGGACTACAGCTAATGATGACACGAGAGGGAATACTCCACAAAATGGGCTCTTAGCTATAGTTAAGGACAGAACAGCCAATCACGCTCTAGAATCTGCAGAGGTCAATGTTGTGACAACAGGTGCTGTACAGGGGGAGAGGCACAGGAGCAGGAAATAGAGTGCCAGAGGGAACAGCCACACAAATACAGCAGGTACGAGGCTGCAATCTTCTCTTTCACTTGGGAAAAACTCATATGCTGTGCAACTCAAGAAAAAGACCATGAATTACAATGGTCTGGAAGCCATCAGCCTATGAGGACAAGGAGGAAACTTTAGGCAATGTATCTTCAATATCTTACTTTATAAAACAGATCTCTGTAACACCATAGTTAGATGCCTATGTTCTAGTAAGAGTAGTGCTCTAATAGAAGCCCAAAGAAAGCTTGCAAGGGAGAAGAAGATACTTTTACATGCAAAGATTTTTTTATTCTTTCTCTACAAATACTTAGATGCCAATTATGAAATACAAGTTGCAACACTCTCTATAACTCATACTACCTTTAATAGCTGATCATCTGCATGATCATATGCCCGGGTTTATTTTTAAACTGCATATTACTATCATATGCATAACTGCACGAGGCAGTTTGTGGTTTCATTAGCTCTGCAGTTCTGCAGGTTTGGAAAACACATTAAATCACATTAAAGATCTTTCAGTTTTATTTTTAGGATTCTTCTTTGTGCCTTTATAAAGTTCAAAATTACAAGAACAACAAACCTACAAACTACACTGACACCTGCAGTGCTGTCAGTAAGCTCAAAACTATGGTACAGAGCTCCCCAAGTTTCAGTAACAAAATCAACAGTGATACCAAAAATCAACAGTCTCCTGTGTGGGCTGACCTGCCACATGCCAAACACAACACACTTTGTCTTCTTGTTTTAGAGTTATTTGCTTAGCAATAGAGAAATGTTCAGGAGGGAATAAATGTCAGCTCCAAGATGCAGATCAATGTATCCAAGTCCTCAAACACATTTCTTCTCACCCTCATTGCTCCCTGCTTTATTTTCCTCTCTTCCTTCCTAGATTCAGCTTCTTGCTCTTAGTTTCCTTGCTGGTCTTTCTCCTTGTTACTGCAGATCCATGACCACTTAAATCATGCACCTAGCATCCTTCTCCACCAAGTCCCTGCTCTAGCAAGATCCTCTCATACATCTTCTGCCTTGTCTAACCTGCTGATTTTCCTGTTCTCACCATCTACCTACCCTTTGCTGCCTTTTCTTCCCTGCACATTTTTTCTGCTATCCATCTGCTTCTGCTTCTGGCTTTAGAGTCCTTTCTTAAGGTTTTGTGTCTTAATCCCTCTTTAACCTCAAATCCTTTGATGCTGAGTTACATTCCTGCACCCTCCTTCCCACATCTAAACATTTAGGCGTCTGTCCCTTTCCCCACTTCTGTCTGCAGAAGCTTCTCTCACCCTCTGCTCTCCAAAGTTGAGAGCAGGATCTGCACTGCAAATGCAGCTCTACTGAGCTGGAATGTGAAAGATGTGCTCAGAAGCTATAAAGGTAGCTATCAAATCAAATATCTTGACTGAATGCCACTGAAAGTAGTAAGTCTACCATTTGGCGAATACTTTAAAAGCTGCAAGAATCACTCAATTTTAAGATTTCCATTAAAATTCAGTATGATATAGACCACTGGCACACGTCTGGGGCAATTTACAACTACAAAAAAGATTATACAATGGAAAATGTCAGTTAATCTATTGATAAACACTCATCAAAGAGAACATAAAAGTTAAGACACAAATGAAAAAAGTCCCCAAATGGGCATTAAAAATATTTTATGCCAGCAACACTGATACTAGAGACATCTGCAGTTCAGTACTCTGTTATATCTTTGAAAATAATTTCTCCTTGGTCATCCTATGCCATTGCTGCTTCTTTGCCTAATGCCTATTTATGCCATGCTTGCACTGCCATACTCCAGAACTCACTCTTTGTTGAATTGCACAAAATACCTTCACTGCAGCAGCATTGTAGAGATCCAGGAATAGGCAAATAACATGCAAAAACTAACTAAGAGCATAGCTTCAAAATTTCAGGTTTTGTCCAAAAAATCCCCACCAAAACTGAAAACAAAAATCCCTACACACAGAGAGAGAACACTCTCCATTGGTAAAAGTCATTAAAATTTACTAGTAAAACAAGAAAAACTTAAGACATTAAAGAGAGGAAAAAACTAATTTTATAAGGAGCAAATAATAGCTTTATAGGCTTAAACTGCTTTTAAATACTTTTAAAACAATTCTTTAAAAACATGAACAACTTAAAAATAATAAGTCCCCATGAAAACACACATATACTATATCATTATTTTTGTACATTACTGATGTATTTCTAAAACGTATTACTAAAAATGCATTTGTAGTTTTAATGTTTGATTTCCTTAAGACCAACTGAGTAAAGCAGGGTATTTGTAAATATTTGTAAACCCTTATTTCCTAAGGGAATAATTCAAAAGTTGTATCCTAAGAGCAAGGAAATGCTTTTCCCATTAACACGCTGCCGCTCAATTACTTTACTCTTGGATGCACACGGATGAAATAATAATTTACAAGACACAAAAGTGTTGAGCTTTTTCCACAAGTCTTTTGCAGCCTTCCATCAAAATTCAAGATGGGGAGTAAAACTCTTAATAAATTCTCATTGTTTTTACATCTGCAATATGTGTGCTTTCAAAATAAAGGGAAAGCTAACTCCTACCACCAAAAATCCATTTTCTCGAAAATACTTTGTCTTCAGCAGCACCCTCCATACCAAAAGCTAATGCTGGGGTACTGTGATTTCAAGTGAGATCCTAAAAAGCTGAGAAGTTCTGGAACAAACAGCCTTGTCCCTCTCACAAAGCCAAAACAAGCACAAAATATGAGAGGGTCTGTTATTGTGTATGAACCATCATGCTGATTTCCAAAGAGTCTTGAATACCTGGGATTAAATACCCCAAGATGTTTTCCCAAATCCCTCCAGACCATATTCAGAGACTACTGATAATCAGCAAAGAATGTAATTCAGCAATTTATTCAAATCCCTATGTGCAGGATTTGCAGGAGTTACTTAAGACAAAAAGCAGGATCTAATGACAAGGGTCAGTCAAACAAAGTCCTTCTGCAGTTTGTTGTAGTCCTCCTTTAGGTAGTAAAGAGCTACTAGAAGGTCTTGCCAGAGCCTCCTCTTCTTTAGGATGAACAACCCCAACTCTATCAGCCTGTCTTCATAGGAGACAAGCTTCCATCCTCTGAATCTTCACAGCCTTCTCTGGACTCACTCCAGCAGGTCCATGCCTGCATATGCCAGGAGCCCATACCTGGCTGCAGCACTCCATGTGATATCTCACCACAGTGGAGCAGAGGGACAGAATCACCTCCGTCAACCTGCTGGCCATGATGTCTTTGAGGCAGTCCAGGATGTATCTGGCTTTCCATGCTACAAGCTGCCAGCTCACATTGAGCTTTTCATTCCCCAACACCTCCCAAGTCCTTCTTCTCAGGGCTGCTCTCAAGCTATTCTCCAGTCTGTACTTGGGGTCCATTGACCTACTCCACCTCTCTCCAGTTTAGAGGCAAGGGTGCCATATATGAGACTGTCAAATTCCTTGCACAAGTCCAGGTAGTTGACATCACTCTTCCTTTATGCTGTAACCTCATTGTAGAAGGCAACTAAATTGGTCACACACTATTTACCTTTAGTGAAGCCCTGTCAGCTGCCACCAACCACCTCCTTATTTTCCAGTTTCCTTAGCACAGTTTCCAGGATGATCTGCTTTGTGATCTTGCTGGGCACAAAGGTCAGGTCGACCTGTAGTTCCCAACAGATGGGAACATCCCTACAGATGTTGGGTTTTTTCTCTTTTTAAAATGAGGGTTATGTTTCCACTTTTCCAGGCAGTGGGAACCTCACCAGACTGGCACAACTTCACAAATATGATGGATAGTGGCTTAACCATTTCATCTACCAGTTTCTTCAGGAGTGCTAGATGCATCTCATCAGGCCCCATGGACTTTTGCACCTGCATGTCCCTCAGACAGTCTCAAACCTGATCTGCTGCAGTGGGCACTTTCTCAATGTCCCAGCTCCTGCCTCCTTCTGTGGCAGCCTGGGCAGTGTGGCTGGAGCACTTCTCAGTGAAGACTGAGGGGAAAAGTGATTCAGTACCTCAGCCTTCTCCATATTTCAGTCAGGCCTTCTCTTTCCTTCTGGAGAGAGCCCACATATTCTCTAATCTTCCTTTTATTGCTAATACACTAGAGCTACTTTCCTTGTTGCCCTTGATGTCCCCAGACAGATTTAATTCTATCAGGGCTTTAGCTTTCCTAACCTGATCCCAGGCTGCTTGGACAATCCCTCTGGTGAGCTGTTGTTACAGATGTGGTACATCCTATTGCTCAGCAGGAAAATACCTCCACACCCAGGAAAAATCATGGTATTGTTTAATCAGAAAAATAATTCAGTGTATAACAATATATGCTAAAATCATTCTAGTTCAAGCTGCTAACTAACCCCATAAAGAGAATATGTGAGTACCCTGCCTTGGCAAACAGCCCTCACACTAATCTGGCAAGCAGAGAATTCAAAAGCTACCTACTGCCTATTTATATAGAAATACAGAAAGCTTCACAAAA